ACCCCAATCTTTTCACAATCTTCTTGCCCTTCTTATGCTTGTCACCTTTCCTTTAAACTTCCTGCAAGCACCAAATAACTTCCATGCCATGGCAAAAACCACCTGACTTCCAAAGTGTTGTAGTTAATCTTTAAAGACAGAGGTATCAGCCAGGTCATTAGGGCCAGTAGAGGGAACGGATCATTTTCAAACTGTGACTTAAAATAGTCAACTCACACCTGAGCCGTCCCGTGGCAGCTCCCCACCTCCCTTTCTCGGTGGCTTTGTGTTACCTGTCCTTCCACTGACTCACCCTGGTTCTCAGGTGACGTTTCAAGAATGCATGCCACTTGAGCCACCTGCTATTTTTAGGTGGGAGTTAGTAAAGAGGAGGAGGAGGCCGATGCAGATTAAGGGCTATGAAATTGTTTTGGCATCTTCCTATCTTTTTCAGCCTCTCTCAAGAAGTCTTGGCATTCTGCCCTTCCTATTTCTTTCAGGAGTATATATACATGCAATAAAGATGCAGTATTAATATTTGGTGAAGTCCAGGGGCTCTGGGGCCAGACAAGCTGTATTTATTTGCAGTATCTTATTGAAACTGTTCTTTGGAAGGTCACTGACCATCTCCTTATTAAAACATCTAGTAAATTTGCTATGAAACTTCTTTTCCTCATGACTCTCTGTAGCATTTGTCACCGATGGCCACCTCTTCGTGCTTGATATTCTGTTCTCACTTGGCTTTTGGATACTGTATTTTTCTGATTCTTCCTCTGCCTCCCTGACTGCATCTTCCTGGTTCCTTCAATAGCCATTCCACTCATTCTGCTACAACATTTAAGGAGCCTTTTCTATTTTTAAATGCTCTGCTCTGCAGAGCTGCTGCAGCTTTGTATCAGGGCCTATCACCTCTACACTCATGCCTACGAAGTTTATTGTCTTCCCCTGGGCTCCGATTTTCATGTCCCTGTCAAATGCATGTGTCCATTTGTATCTGCAGTCATCACATTTATTTCAGCATCATCTGATTACACTTGCCATATTGTCCCTCCTGGAATTGACTTTGACTCTCTCCCCACATCTCACCACTCTCTTTTCAAACTTTAGAGTCATCTCTTAATGGGCACAATGGAGAAGAAATCAGTGACTGAGTTTCATCAATTCTTTCTTGGAAATGTCAGTAAGACCTGCCTCACTCCCTCAGGTTAACTGCAGCGCAGACCCTTGTTAATGCACGTACAGTCATTATCACCAATGCCTTTGCCACGTTCTCTTACCTGAATCTCTATTCTCCCAATTTTTTTCTTGGAAGAATATTCTCAGCTCAAAACATGCTTCAATTCATTTTTCCTACAATTCTAAACTTTTCTGCTTGCTTCAATGCTTGCTATACATTAACCCAACTCTGCTGAGGAACAACTTTCCACAGCTTCTAGATATGAGGCCTCTTTTTAGTTAGCAACTCCTTGTTTGCATTATTTCCCTAATTCAGAATATTCTTCCCTTTACCTCCCTAAACCCTAGCCATCCTTTGAGGCCAGGGCCCGTCTCTTCCACAAAAACCTCTCTAACTCTGGCATTCAAAGGCTACTTTAATCTCTCAATTACTACCACCCATTCCTCAGGGAAGGTCTGAATTATATACAGCACATGTTACTTCTAAATTGTTTATTTTTTCCCACTCAGATTGTAACCTCCTCCAGGGCAGGAGATGCAGACGTTGTCCCACCACTACCACGGGCCTGCTCTCCTTAGGAAGACTTCTTAATTGGACTGCAATTGAGGTCTGATAATAAACTAGTGCTATGGTTAACAAGTGTGATTATGTTGTTAACTCATAAAAGTTAAAATGATTTATTTTTATTTTAATAAATGTTTACAATGTCAGCCCTTTTATGGGCTTCCATGCTCATTTATTAGATTTTTATATGGTTAAAAGTTTCTCCATTTTTCAGGTGAGGGAACTGAAGCTTATGGACATGAAATGACTTGCTTCAAAGCTCATAGGGCTGAAAAGATGGAGACCTCCTCTAAACTGCAATACTTTGCATTCATTTTATTTTTTCTTCTGGGAAGACTTGACTTAACCAGTGAGTATGGGGAGGAATAGAGACTGTGATTCAATCTACCCCAATTTATTTAGGTTTTAGCAGCAATGGCTGGAGCCGACTGGGATGCATCTGTGTTTGGTCGCAGTGTTCCCTTCCCACTGAAAGCATCTGCATCCCATTCAGAAACCAGGGAGTCATCTTCAGCACTACACTCTCCCTCACCCTCCATGTCCCTTTCATCATTGAGCTCAGTCAATTTCACTGCCTCCATTTCTCTTGAATTTCCCCCACTTCACACCTGTTGCATGTACGTCCAAGCTACCAGCACTTAATGCCCCTTTAAGTGTCTCCTTGCATCTACTCCCATCTCCCTAATCTGTTTTCCATTTAGAATAAACTTTTGTGAATGCAAATCTGATCATGCCTTTCTATTCTCAGGCACTGTAGCAGGCTTTTCATCATTCATGTAGCAAATGCCCTACAATGCAGCACAACCTACTGTGCTTTTCATGGTCTGCCACCATCTCACACCTCACTTACTCTCTCTAATCCATTCTTTCAATATCTCAGGCATGCCTGCTTCCTCCTACTATAGTCTGTTTTCCTTGCCTGCCACACCCTTCCACTTACTCTTCATATAGTTAGCTTCTAATTATTCTCCATATCTTACTTTAGTTATTCTTTCCTCAAGAAAGATGTCCCTTGACCTTTTTGACTAAGGTAAATCTCTCTGTGATATATAATCTCTTAGCATCATGCAACTTTCCTCCATTACTTATCACAGTTGAACTTTATATTTCCTTCTGAGATCACTGGTCATTTCTAGTTAATACTTATTTCCCACTTCTGGACTAAAAGTTCCCTGAGGCAGGGATAAATTCAGCTCCCAGCTGAATAGACCCAGCACTTCAAAAATATTTGTTTAATAAATGACTAAATGAATGAATAATTGCTACCGATGACTACTGGCATTTCAGTTTGGATAATGATTTAATGTCAGTTTGTGGATAATCAACCTCAGTTCACTCTTAACACTACTGTGCCAAAAATATTGGGATCCTAGCCTTGTGGGTATATGATAAGTAAGTGAGTGGACAAAATGACAGTTGGCACAGTGTTACGGACACTCCAAGCCCTTACTTAGCACATGGCTTTAAGTTGTCAACATCATGTTTGTTTATAGTGAAGAGCTACAAACTGAAATTCTCAATTGTGCCCTGATGAATGAAATAAACATTGCTGTCTGAACACTGCAGGTGTTGAGACAGTAAGTTCAACTCAAGATATTTAAAAAGTAGCAAGATATTTAAAAAGGATGTAAGAGCAGATACAGTATAGATATGCTAATTTGTATTTTGAGACAAAGTGCTCTGAGCCTACATTCTGCTCTAATGATCTCTGGCATATAGCAGAGCATGATAAGAAATAGGTCTAGCTTGGACTCCAGCCATGCTTGTTTCTTTACGAATTGTATGAAGGGCCTTGTTATAAAACAGTGTTTCTTTTAAGACACTGTTCAACATGAGCTTTGAGGGTAGTAAAATAAACAAGTTGCGTATTTCCAATACAATAACAAAAGGAAATGGATCCTCATCAAAAGTTTCAAATATCATTTGAAAGGGTCAAAATTCTTAGGGTATGTGCAAGAGACAATTAAAGGATAGATTAAAAGATGAAAAATAATTACTGTTATTGAGTAAAAGACTCAAGGGTATAATGACTAGCCAGAGTAAATCTTAGAATGTCATTTATTTGCAAAATGTTACCAAGTAGCTGGGTAATAATTCACAGAATTCATAAAGACTTAAAAGACTACTGCCTTAATGGAGTTTTTTTTTCTATTTTACTTATTAAGATCGCCTTAATAATTCATGCATGGCAATACCTTTAATGAGCAACAAAATCTCACGTATCTCACTGAAACTTGGCAACTCTGCTGACAGTTAATATAGTCTCATACCTCTGAGCCAGCAATTGTAGAGGAGCCCTAGGCTGTTAGTAACGGAAACCATCCCATTTATGATAATCCCAAGAAAAGTTATGTTCTAGATGAATGGTTGAATTTTATGAACATTTGCTAGGAGGATTTATTCATCCTTCATTTTTGGGGAGGCAAGGAGCAATAATGAGCCCAAACTCTAATTCCTGTTCCACATACTACATGGGTTGTTTCACTTCTTTCTTAACAGCAGCAACTGATTATCATTTTCTGGAAGAAAACAGGAATTCCTATCAAGGTTTTAAAGCCTTACTGTGATTAGCACCGACATAGCTGATGAAAAGAGAGAGAATCATGTAACACAATCCCACCAGGCAAGATGAATTCTCTGCTTTACTCAAACGAGTGTGACTATGCATGTAGTTTAGACTTAACTTCTTTACCAGCATCTAGCGGTCAATTTTAAGCCACCAGCATTTCTTACAGACATAAGGAATAAAGCATTTACAATTGTTTTTCACCTAAAAGAATGTTCCAGGTGATAATTCTCAAGATACTTTTCAAAATAAAATTGCAAAAGTGGACACTAATTTTAATACACATTTATTTGCTACATCTATCGATAATGACACCACTCACTGCTATATTTAAAATAGTCTGACTGATAGAAAATACACTATTCCAGTTTATTTTGCATCCAATATGTTTATTTTAAATTTAAGACTTGTTTTTGGCACAGTGAGTTAAGTTGGAGAAGCTCACTAATTCAGCCAGTTCTCTTGAATATGCAATTCTTTAAAAATATTAGAGTTAAAAGTCAGTAAAGGCCTGGATTTGGGGGACACACAGAACAATATCACCACAAAACCTGGATTTTATTTTACTTATTAAGATGGCCTTAATAATTTATGCCTGGAACTACTATAACAAGTAAGAAAATATTATCACATCTTACTTAAACTTGCTGTGCTAAGAGCTGCCATGCCACATCATATCACATTCAGGTTCCCTACACGCAGAAGCGTACATACCTGGTGTAAGGAGGGAGAGGCAGAGTGATTCTGTTCCACTTGTTGAAAGTGTCTGACACGAGGATCCGCTGTAGGTGATAGCGACTGCATTCCACATGGGTTGGCAGACAGTCCCTTACCAAGGGGTGCCATGATAATCCAAGATCTACTGAGTACTCCAATTCAATGGCTGAAATAGGAAACATGATTCTGGATGGAAGTACATGTCCGCAATGGCATTCTATCAATGGCAAGACATTTGCACTAGTTTCCTGATTCTCCTGTGCAGCCAGCATGGGACCACTCACTGCAGACCCAGAAACCATAATCACTTATGTTTTCATATGGTTTAATTTCCACTGAGTGTCAATTTGATTTTTTCTTATATTTATGTTTCCTTGTTTGAAATGTTTGCTGGTTTGATTTTTCCCTCTGTACATTATTAGTTATTATTTTGACCTTCCACATTGAAATAATTTTTCTTTTAAGGGGATACTGTCAAGTAACATAAAGTAAATTTTCCTGAATCCCTTCTTATACTGAGAAATTTTCAGAACAATCCTAACAAAATTATTGCTTCATATACAGTTAAAGCAACAGTAGTAATAGTTATAATTTATATGTATTTACTATTTAATCTGACAGTTATAGACTGTTACATAAATATATGAATTATATATAACTTAATGTATTATAATAATTTGTATTATTACCACTATTTAATGGTTTACATACAGAAACAGAACATAGTAACCATATATTTTAATAATTATTTCTTTTTAAGTTAAAAAAAATTGAGTAGCCTTCTCAAAATATGACCATTCCATAGAGATCCTGACCAGTTAATGTTGATTTCGCTCCTGGTATAGGAGAAACTTCTTAGAAATTACAAAATTTCTTTGGCTTATACATCCTGCTCTGCTGTGTTATTACTGTGCTTTAGGAAATCAGAATCAGTATACGAGAAGGTAGGTGAAGGACATCCAATTTCTGCCAAGGCACAGTCAGGCCATGGGCCTGTAGAAGGATAATTCTTTTTTTGTTTTCTCTTCTGAAATGTTCAGCTTATTCCTTGTATTTTATGCTTCTCTCTTGTCCTTTCTTAGGCTTTATAAATATCCTTAGCCCCCACCTCCTGAAATTTCTTTCTCTGAGGCTGTGATTCTCAATCTTGGCTACACTCTGAAATCACCTGGGTACTTTTAGAAACTCCTGAGGCCAGGGTCCCTTGCCCAGAGATTGTGGTTTCACTCTTCTGGGCCAAGGTGCCAGGAGCCTCAGAGCTCCCCAGCTGATTCTCCTGTGCAGTCAGCATGGGACCACTCACTGCTCTAAGGCTCCCAGTGGCCTTTTCTAGCTGAATATAATGGCCGTCTCAGTCCTCATTGTTCTTGTCCTCCCTAGAGCATTTGACTTTATTGATGACTCCCTGATTCCTGAACTTTATTTTCTTCTAGAGGACATTATTCTAAATCTCTTGCCTTATTCTCCCTCTGCTTCTGTACTAACTAACCCAGCTATGGGCATTCTTTCAGACTCCAATTGTGGCTTTCTATTCTATGTGTACACTTCTTGGGCTCCAGCTATTATCTCTGTGCCCAAACTTCCCAACTTTATGTCTCAAGACTGATTCTATTAACAAATGTTTATTCAGCTGGGCATTACACTAGATGCTGGCACACTGTGATGCACAGCGTAGGTGAAGTTCTTGCTTTCGGAATTCTAAGTCCTCCTTGCTACAGGGCTTCTCCACTTGATGCTACTTTCAATGCAAACTAAGGAAAAACTTATCATTTTTCCTTATAAATAAACATCTCTTTTTAAGTACTAAATTCTATCAATGGCAATACATTTGCACTAGTTTTCTGGGTCTCCAATTTAGCAATTATTTTATTCTTCTCTTTTGCACCCTTTATATTCAACCTGTCACCTGGTGTGAGACTTGCTGCTCTTTGCTTTCTGCCTGCATGTCATATTAGTTTCATCCATTCCATTTCTCTTTACGCCATATAGTGCAGGTCCTCACCAGCTCCTGTGGACAGTCCCAAAGAGGCTTCTTTATGGGGACTGATTTTTCCCTACTTCCCTTTACTGGCTCTCAGGCTAATCTCCCTAAAACACCCCATACCACTACTCTGCACTTTGCCCTCTTGTTCATGACCTTATCAAGCACAAATTCTTGTGCCTGCTTTGTAAGGCCCTGCTTCATTTGTTGCCAACTCTGCTTAGCCACTATCATTTTCATTTTATTATCTAGTACAACCTTTCTCAAGAGGCCGTGCCAGCCTACAGCAGAGAAAACATATGACTGGGCTTATGAGGGCTGAGATTCTCTCCTGGTGCTGCTGCCAGGACTCACCATGCTGTGACCATGCCATAACTTACCTCTTGGGTTCTCATTGACTTTCTATGCTAATGAGGGAGTAGGCACCTAGGACCTTAAAGTCTCCTTCTGTTTTCAAAATCAGCTCTCTTCTCTCCTGCATCAGATTCAGGTATTGCCTGTCAGGCTGGTAAGTTCATGGTTTCCCTGATGAAACCCCCACTTTCTCTTCTTTGCTTACGCTGCCAGCCTGGCTTGGGATGTTCTATCTTCTCCACTGACCCTGCAAATCTCTCCAACTATCAATGCACACTTGAGACTTAGCTCTTTATAAAATTGTCCCAAACTCCTTGGATTGGCCATTTATCAGTCTCCTTCCCTCCTTTGAAATTTCATTACATTTTGCATCAGTACCACTCCACAGAGCACTGGATTTAGTTGTTTAGTGGGCTTGTACTTTTAAAAATATTCCCTCAACTAGACTGTACCTACTGAAGTCAGGGTGTATACCTTATGCTTTTCTGAGTTCCACCCCTACTGACTAGTTTAGTGTTGACTGACTGAATCTGAGGTAGAATGAGTACTTCTGGGATTCTCACTAAGATATATCCATTAGGTTCAAACTGATGGCAATATGAAAAATGTGGATTTTGCAGGTCCTTGGAAGTAACCAGAACTTCAGGTTTTGCCTCCCGCAGAATCTAAGACAGAACAAGTTCCTTGTGAACATTCTAGTTTGGATTTCTTGGAGGAACACTGATAGGGGTGGTGAACGACCAGAAGCACCCAGAATCCCCCGGAATCTTAATAGGTCTGCATGTTCTGGTGAAGGGTCCATATGCAAAGATGTCAGTTTGTATTTCTCCTAAGATTGGTCGGTGTGTGTGTGTGTTAAGATATGTGTGAATATGTGAATGCACAATCTAGAGGATGCAAATTGGTCATAATGAGTGTGGCCTAGAATATGCTATGACCCACATAAAAAAAGGGAACAACAAAATTTCATGATTCCTGGGGAGATGCAAAGGAGACAATAACTGAACGAACCTAAAGCCCCACGAATTAAAATTCACATATATACAAATTTATTTGTAAATCCTATTACTTATTCTGGCATTTTCTATGTGATGAGAGTCCTTTTTTCTACAAATCTGATCCTAAAAAAAAAATTCTGGATTTACAAAGATAAGTTGGGGATATTATTTATATATAAAAGAAGTCTTCATGTACATCTACTTAAAAATAAGCTGATGCTTTAAAAAATAAACTGCAACTCAATTGATCTACAATATTTTCAAGAATGCAGTTGTGGCTTAACTTAAAACGCACTGACTATTTACTTATAGACTATCAAGGGTGTAGTGCAGGCCTTTGACAGAGGTAGCCACAGATGCCATTCATACACATCTGACCTCTCTCTAATTGGAAATGGAATACTTACCATAACAAGAGTCTGTGACCGAGCAGGAGGCTGCAAAGTCTATCTGCAGAAACGAGTCCTCATTCACAGCAATGTCCGTGGTGACCACATACCGGGTGCTAGCTTTTTCGATGAAGACCAGAGCGTCACCAGCAGAGCCGCACACAGGCATCTTGGTTCCTCCGGGGTGAAGCAGCCATTTCCTGCTGTCCAGAGTTGTGAAATCGTCCTCCAAGACTGTATTACCAGAAACATTTCCTCCAATAAGAATCTGAAATGTGTTTTTTTTTAAAAAAAACAAATTTTTAATTAGGTTTCAAGATGTGAGGAAGTTCAGTCTTTTTTGTTTGTTTGTTTTTATCTGTGAGATTGCTCAGAACTGGCATTGTGCAGCAAACACACTGTTAGGGGCTTTCAGAACGCTTGTTTATGTGGTCTGCTTGCCCATCTGGCAAGAAACTACAGAAAACAAATTGAAGGATTGACAAAACCATTCACAGCTTTCATGGGCCAAATAGTGCCTTTGCAAACTACATGTATCCCCAGGCTGAGAGAGCTTGGCTTACATGTGATTATTTTCTATGTAAAATTTCTATTTAAGGACAGTTGTTCCCTAAGGCATTTCAGTTTCAATTCTTTGCATGGACTCTGTTAACAGGTTCTTTGAGTTCTAATTGATATGCACTTTATTAGGTATAATAAGATCCTTTAGAACTGTTCAGAAGGATGTTACAGAGATTTATTTACTTTTGCTTCAAAGGCTAGGAAGGAGGATTTGGGAACTACTGCATGTGGTGCCAATGCTAATTTGCACATTTTCCTTTGTAGAGAATTATAACCTTGTATCATGCTTGATAAAGTCCCTCTATCCATATGTAGAATCCTCTAGGAACAGGACCTGGGCCTTCTACTGTGTTGTTTGTTTTTATGGGCTCAGGCAATTGAAGGAAAAGAGAATGAAAGGAAGCTAAAGGTCATATCTAATCTAGCTGTGTGTCCTTGGGCAGGTCATTCAACTGTCCTGGGCTTCCTCTACTGAGTGAGAGGCTGGACTAAATACTATCCAAGGCCACATTCAGCTAAAGTGCCCCAAATTACAAGGGCCAACCCTGCAGGGACTGACCTGGTCGATGACCCAGGGACTGTAGAAGTGTCCGTTCTCAGAGGGCTGCCACCAGCGGAGGCGAGTGGAGGCCGACCGGGCTTTCAGGGGTATCTCCAGGGCAATGTACCTGCCCACATTGCTGGAGTTGCTGAAAAGGAACTCCTGAAGGAGGCTCCATGAAAGGCCACCATTGAGAGAGTACTGTAGAAGCACAGGTTGGCTTCTGGGATCTGGAACACCTTTACCACACCCCAGTCTCATGAAGAACTGCACAAACCTGACACAAGAAAAATTTACTGCAGACTTTTATTTCAGTGAGAAATCCACACCATAACAAAAGACAATATGGGGGGATGCATGGCTTTAATGAATGTGATAATTTAATGAATGTCCAAAGCAGTCATTTCAAATGCCAATTTTCCTTTTTACTGTGAAAGAGAGTTAATAAAGTGTGAAATCTGAAAAAGGCAATTCTGTACCCATATTTATATTTTGTACCCCTCCAGAGAGGACAGTCTGAGGGCAGTGAGCTTTCACTGCATCCCCTCTCTAAGATGGCAAGGGTCCAAAGTCTGTCCAACTTTGGGAGTACTCTATTATTTAGTGAAGATAAATTTGGATCTTTGTCCTTAGCCTGAAACTGGAAGAAGAATGTAATTAATGTAGTTTATGCCATTTATTGGCAAAATCACCCATTCTCCACTTTTACCAGTAATTGTTCAGATCTCATATTATTGGTTTTGGAAGACACATTTAAAGTCACCAGATGTACCTCTTTGTGAAAGGCCAGACAATCTTTTGGAAGAGGTGTGTCAAGCCTGAGTCTCCTCTGTTTTTTGTGCCAGGGCAGAAGGTGTGTAGCGTGGGGCGGTGGTGATGGTGGGCTGTACCAGCCACTGACTATTGCTGGGTCTGGATGGATGATACTGGCCGTGGAGAACCGAGGCAGCCAGCCAGTGGCAGCTTTCCCAGCTGGCAGGGACGTGGACAGAGTGGCAGCCACCAGCTGGGGTGCCAAGGAAAACTGGCTCACATGTTATCTTTGGCAGGCAAGCTGCTGGTGCCTGGTCTGGCCACTGTGCTAGGTGGTAATGAAGAATAAATTTCACGTGTAACCCAATGTGCATACCCAATTATATGCATGTCAAACAAACGAAATATATTTGGGCTTGTAATGAAAGTCATCAGTTCCATTTGTAAAAACCATGCATTCTCCATGGGCTCCACCCTTCCCCCATATCCATTAACTGGACATTCATTTGTCTTATAACTCAGAGAAAATTGGGATTCTTTTTGAAGTCCGTGGAGCATTTTGAATACAATAAATGCAAATCCTACAGAGCATGCTACTGAGATGAGATAAAAAATGGAGCTGTTAACATTGGATTAATGAAAAAAATACATGGGTAGTGCCTAGTGATGTTCCAATCTATAAAAATAATAATTTACAGAGAAAAACTTTTAGCACATTGTCTACTTGTATTGGGAAAAGGTTTATATTAATTTAGTTATACATAAACTAGCTCAGAATTACTTGGAAAAACTTGATAATTTCTAAATTAGAAAAATAGCTGCCAATGATAAATCTGAAGTAAAGAGCATCAAATTAAGCCATAGGCATTAAAACAGGATAAAGAAAATCTTAATTTCTATAACTGTAAAATTATTATCTCACAGATAGTTATATTTTCTATGAAGCATGATCAAATTTATAATTCAGAAAATGAAAAATTTAGGAGAAATAGGATAAATATGCTAGGGTGCATTTTAAGATACTCTGTTTCAAACAACAAAACCACGATTTCTTTGTTCACTTGTGAAAATAGGTCAGGGTTCCATTTTACACATGTTAAACTGTCTTCTTTAGTTTTTTGGCTAAGTTCTTGGCTCATCAAATGATCAAGGGATATGCATCTTGACAGGACATAATCCTCTGAGCCAGTTTAAGATGTTGTTTCTGAGTGGCTGTGCTCAGTTTGGAAAATGAGTGCTTTGAATGTATGAGCAAATCATAGGAAAGAATGCTTATGAAGAATAAGACCGCACTTCAAACATTCTTAACTTAAATTGCTAATGGATATAAAATTATTTGTGAATAATTTGAGGATGTATTGCTTTTCAATTAAGCTTCCAGTATGGCATACATAATTTCTACATAGTTCAAGTGCTAATGAAAAGAATTCTGCAGAAAAAAGAAGATGCAGTATCATTTTCTTGAAGTTAAACTTAAGTTAAACATTGTCATTTCCTGGTCACCATCTTGTAAAATACCAGAGATTAACTTCTGTCTGTTTCACTGTGTTTCATTTCTCATCTAGTTATTGCACAAATCTCTCTCAGTTCTAGAGAGGAAATTATGTAAATTGTTTCTTAATGGAGTTTTTGACAAGACAGAAGCTCAGCATTGCCAAAGGAAGGCCTTGTCCTTGAGATCTCTGCTTTCTGATTCAATTATGTTCTGCTAAAGTACATTACAATGTGGTTTTCCAACAGCATTTAAAAATGATTACCTAGCATGTGATAAATCCAGATCTCGTGTCATCAACATGCGCAAGCCTTCTTCATTGAAAAAGAGGTTGTTTCCACTGGAAAGGATTCCACACTTCCGAGATGGCTTTCCGCCACTCATTAATAAAAATCTATCAGATTCTAGCTGGCCTGAAAAAGATGGAAAATATTGTTTACCTAAGACCTCAAATAGAGTCATACATATATGTATTAAGGAATATGGTAAGTGCCATGTGTTGTTTTAAAATATAAAGTCATAATTATTAAGGTCTTAGATTTTGGGATAAGTGGCCTCTTCAACATTGTAGCTTGTTTGAGAAATTTAACTGATTGTGTGGCTTAAAAGCCGGCATGAGAGACTGACTGGGCCTTGTCCTGAGTCTCTGTGATCCAGCCAGATGAGTCCCTCCTTTCTGTTCCTCTGCACTGCAGAAAGACACTGGCTAGTCAGAGACTGGTTCAGGCCCAGAGTAAGGGAGGGTTTTGTGGCCTTTCCACTGGCCTCTTCAGCTGTGTCCTTGCTAATCAGGACAGCATCAGGCAAACATTACACATTATTAAAAACACAATTTTAATAGAAGTTTCAGTATAGTTTAGTCATTCCTATTAAATGTCTTTCAAAACCACCTCTCATATCTCTTCAGATATTCATCTTTGATGTAGTTTACTACTTTTCGGATTGTAATAAAATATACTTAACATAAAATTTACATTTCACCATAAAGTGACAACTCAGCAGCATTTGGTCCACTTACAATGCACAACCATCCCTGCTAGCTAGTTCCAGAACTTTTTATCACCACAAAGGAAACCTTGCAGCCATTAAATAGTCACTTCCCATTTCCCCATCACCCCCTCTGCTGTTCTCTGGATTTGCCTATTTTGGATGTTTCATGTACATGGAATAATATGATATGTGGCCTTATGTGGTGGTTTTTTTCATTTAACATAACATTTTTAAGGTTTATACATGTTGCAGCATGTATTAGTATTTTGTTCCTTATTTTGGAGGAATATTATTCCATTGTATTGATATATTTAAATCTAATTTAAAAACATACCCTAAAATCATAATTACATTATAATAATTTTACAACTTGGGGAAAAGAACTCTTTATTCCCACTGCTTAACAGATAGGTATTACATTTGTTTAAGACTTTCTCTTATGAGAATGTTTGTCATAATATTATCAGAGTGTATAGCCAGTAGATACACAGTTAAGAGTGAAGAATTTCAATTATTACATCACAAAAATTTTTCTATGGGGTAAAATTATCTTTGCATTTAATGATGTTAGATTCTATGTATAAAACAGGTACAGAAAGTGAATTAGGAGCTGCTTAATAAATTGGTGATAAAGCAATGACAGGAATTTATATTTCTGGAAACTTGTTCCCTCCACCCAATAAGATTAACCTTCTATAGACATTTTCTAAAATATCATTAAGTAGAAATTCCATGTGATAGAAAAATGGTGAAAATAGCCTAAGTTTTTCTCAATTATGGTCTTACTCTCACTGATCATCATTTCAAAATAGAACCTTATAAAATCCAGAACTACATGAAGATTTGAGTGGTCCCAATTGTAATGATAAATAATGAAAGATTAGAGTGGAACTTAACGATTACTTCCATATTACAAATTGTGTTTAATACATGAGTTCTTTTACAGAGCTACTTGAATTTATAAGAAAAGGTTACCTTCAAAATCATCTTTGAGAAAATCAGGATTTTTGGTGCTGATTTTGCAGGTTGGACCTGAGTAGCCAGGATCACATATACACTTGGTTCCATTGATACAACTGCCATGTCCATTACACATCTCTTCACATTGGGGACCAATATAGACATTATCAATGGCCCACGTCACTGGCTGAGAGCCAGCAGGGTAAAATCCTTGGTACCATCTGAAACGCACAGATCTAGAAAAGAGGTGTAAATCTTTCAAAATCTAATCAACAGAACAACATACCTTCAAAGTAAGTATACCTGATTAGTGAGCACCTCTGCACCATGCTCAAGAAGTAGAAAACATGCTTTAATATTCAAGGAATATGAACTCCATTCTTCAATCTCCAGGATTTTCCCAGTAAGGTTCCTGCTTCCTGTAAGCCCTTTCCAAACCTATCACTATGTCAAAATTCCACCTCACCTTCCACCTTTTTCAATATTGACTTTCTTGGTGAAACTTTCTCTGTTCCAACTATCTACACTCCACATAATTAATCATTTTTTAAAACCTTGAGGTAGGATTCACATAACATGAGGTAACCATTAACCATTTAAAGTGTGCAGTTTGTGGGCCTCTAGCACATTCACAGTGTTAGCCGACTGTCACCTCTATTGAGTTCCAGGACATTTCCATCACCCCAAGAGGAAACCCTGTGCCCATTGAGCAGTTATTCCCACACTCCCTGACTCCAGCCCCTGGCAATCACTGATACGCTTTCCATCACTGCAGATTCACTTTTTCTGGATATATTATATAAATGAAATCATACACTATGTGACCTTTTGTGTCTGGCTTTGTTCACTTAGCATAATGTTTTCAAGGTTCACCCATGTTGTAGTAGCTATCAGGATTTCATTCCTTTTAATGACTAAGTAATATTCTACCATACAGGTGCTACCAACTTCACCCATTTGTCAGTTGATGGGCTTTTGGCTATTGAGAGTAGTGTCTCTATGAACATTCATGTATGAGTTATTTGCTTGAATACCTGTTTTCAATTCTTTTGGGTAGAATGGTGATGGGATTCCTGAGTCATATGGTTGATAACTAGTTCTTTAATTTTTCTCTCTTGCTTTCTTCCATGATTTTGATAGAACTTCCATTATTACAGTTATCACAGCTGGAGGTATTTAAAAGTGTGCTATTTCCCCTAATGACCATGATCTTGTGGAGGCCAATGCCCATGCCTCTTTCTTCTCTGCTCCCTCTCATGGTGTCTGTATGGTGTTTCTTATCAGTGAATGCTCAGTGAATGTCTGCTGAATGTCATTTGTTGTGAAAACCCCTAAGAGCTAAACTAAGGTTGTTTAGATTTTATCCTATTGGCAACAGGATCATTTTAAAGGAGTGACAAAATCAGATTTATTTTTATTTAGTCTTCCATTTCTTAATTTCCTTTTACATCATAGATAACTTTCCTTTTTATTTGTAAATGAATCATCCTCTCATATTGTTGACAGTAAGTCAATAAGCTTCTTGGAAATAATCTACATATTTACATAGCAGTCCATAAATAGTTAAGCATATTTTATTACATACAAAACTCAGTACAATGAAGTTGGATTTATTTTCAAGGGGATAGCTATAGAGATGGCAGATGTATTCATCTTTGTACCCTGTGAATCTGGCCAGTTTTCAATTATCATAAAAACCAAATTCAGAATAATTTTTTATTTGAGAAACAGAAATTTGCAGTCGTTCTTAGAGGTACTTATTAGGCTTCTAAAGTTTAGTACTAGTAAAGAAGATGGAGTCAAGTTCCCACATATAATTTTAACCCTAATTTCATTGTTTATATCAAGACTCCAACTATATTAAGCTGCCCCCAAAATGCCAGCTCATAATTAAATTTTATTTTCAAATACTTGTCAGAGTTTAGTCTTGGCAAGAAGCCCTCCCTACCTTTTGAACTTTCAGACTGCTGAGCTGAGGGAAATGGCTGGAGTTTTCCTTTGAACAAATGCCTACATGGATTTTTTTGAGTTTCTTATTTATTCAAATGTTCTGAATACAAATGAACCACCTTGGTTGGATATTTATTACTGTTCACCTGCCTTGACACAGGAACTGCAAGCGCTATGATAAATGGGCTGAAGGGTTGGTTTCACAGCGGCTCCCTTCTGCTGAAATCTTACTTTGAAAATTTCTCACTACCACCCTCCCTGATGGATGTCAGCTTTGTTCTCCCAAACCAGTGGTATTCAAAAGGATCTGTTTTTTAAGCATTAACCTAAAATTTCAAGCACACAACAGTGCTTTCATTAAATAGGAGCTTAGTTGACTCATTATGAAACTATATAAAACAAAAGCAATTAGGAAATTTTAAACACAAAAAGACTCTAGATGAAAAGGACACAAAGGTGATGTGAATAAAATTTGACAGAGGCTCAATATTTATCCTTCAGATGTGAGTTGACTATATGTGGAGATAAATATGGCCATTGCTGTACCTGAAAATATTTATCGTACTTTTTTTTTGGTACCGAGTGTCCAGTAAGTACACAGAAAGGGTTAATTTAAACACGGCTTTTATATACATTTTTAGCATCGAGCACTAGTGCTGCTACTATGCACCATGTTGAATACCAAGGATTGGCTCACTGAATTGGAGAAAATTTCACTTTTGCCTTCCAGCAGTTCATGCCTGCATGGGTTTTAAGAAGAGTGCTAATTTTTTTCCTGAAACAAAGACCAGATAACACTATTAAGGCAAATTCTTCTCTTTGCAGAAATGGTTGACGGTAGTTTGAAAGGAGGGTTTTTTTATCATTCTGACAGTGGGCATGCCTCCAAATGACACAGATGACAAATAGCATGATGGCCTAAGTTCTGTACCCTTATGACTGGAGGAGATATATTTTAAACTGACACCGATACCATGAAAATATACATGTCTGCATTCCTCTTGTTTCAGTTTCCAGGTTTTATTGCCGTGCTGTATGTGTAAGCACAGCCCAGGGGACATCACCAGTGCTAAGTGAGGTGGTCTCTGTGACACTGGAGTGCTGTCCTGTGACCTGATTTCATTCGTACTCCTTTAAATAGGATTGTTTCTATGAGGGAACTTGCTGTAGCAAGTCTGTTGTTAAAACAATTGAAATTCAAGGCTTGCAACCTATCTTTAGGGCTCTATTTTAATAGGTTCAACCTGTATTTAGGGTTCTCTAATAATTTTCTGTTTAATCTAATTCTTATCTGGATAGCTGAAGGAAATTTGAGGTCCATACAAGAGAAAACCTGGAGCTTTTCAACATACCAAAATAAGTGCTTGGCTAGCCAGGCCTCCTATCCTGCCCCCAGCCCACACCCCCTACTCCTTGCCTACACCACACACCATCCAGAAACATGGATTTTCTGCAGATACGCTTCTGTTTTCAACACTTGACTTTCTGGCCACAGCTGATTGGTTCAGATTTTCTTTTCCAGAAACAGGAAATAAAGAGTTCCAGAAAATGAGAGTTCTAGTTTGCAGAGCGATGTTAATGTCGGCATGGTAAAAATGAGGGTCACAAAGTCCGTTTGCTGACATCCTCACACTTCTTGAGGAGGTTCTGTGCAATTCCCCAGGATGTTTCCGGTAAGTTCTTCTGCCTTTTTGTAAGCCTTTTTGTATTTCTGGCAACATACGATCTTACATAATACAACTGATTTTGGATAAAAAGCTTTTCCTGAGCTATTTCCCCCTATCCATTTGTCTACTGCCATTGCTTCCCATCCCCCCAGTAGCAGCTTCCCAGTTGTGCTGGCTGAGTTGCTGGCTCTGTCTGTCTCAAGCACCCTGAGGACATTTTGCTTAGCAATGCTTACTTTTATAAATGGTTGGATTTTATATGAGAATAATATCCTGGTGTAAAAGCAAGAATTAATAAATGACCAACTTGACAACACAAAATATTAAAGTCTTTAGCAATCAAGGTATAAAAATTATGCTGATAATATGATAAGGAATGAATGGCTTATGCTCAAAAAGAATATAGACTTTTGAAAATTCATTTTCACCCTTTTTGGAAAAGTACTAGGTATTAGTAGTTCTGCTCAGAGACCCAAGACTTCTAATTATGTTGAGTTTCACATTGGGAATGTAAATCTATTTCCATCTTGAAAGTATGATATTAATGCTTTCTTCTTTTTTTTTTTTTGACATGCTCTGAAAGTGTAAGTTCTTTACTCTGAGGGAAAAGACATTCCGAGGCAGGCTGCTTTGTTGACACCCTCTCTTTGTTTACTTATATTATTAGCTTTATTTTTTGAACTATACTTCTCATTTCATTTCTGTTAGAATTGAAGTCCATTATCTCCAAACAGCTTAGAGTCGAATATATGGAACAAGAATGCTGAGGGAGGTTGAAAGAGTAGGAATGCCTGGGGGAAGAGAGCTAACAATTTTTTTAAGAGACACTGAGGATGTCTGTGGGCTTCCATCCTCCCTGCCTGGGAGACACAGGCAGGCAACGTTTCAAAGTCGTAAAACTCTAACTGCATCTGTATTGTGAGATGGGGATTACAACATTAGGGGAAACCACATTTCTGTTGCTTTCTAAGTGACCTAACAAAGACCAGCAGGGACAGAGACCCCACTGCAGGGTACAGGCCGAGGTGAGCTTTTTAAAATCTATCTTCAAATTATAAGTTATAGCATGTCAGCTCGGTGTCCTATGTTTTAAATATTCATTGATCTGCTTCAAGTGGAGAAGTGAGGAAGAAATGTAAGGTGGAAATTTCCCCCAATAAAGTGGCAAGACAACAGTGACAAGAGGGAGAAAACCATTAAATGAGAAAAATCCGGCCTGAAGTGGCAAGTCCTTACCCACAAAGATGCAGCTTCCCGAAGTGCACCACCTCCCGCCTCCAGCCCTGCGTGGTTCCTGCAAAGTAGGTGCTGCTCGGGTGGTGCTCGGTGGAACACAACGAGCTGATGTGGCTGCTGCTGTGGTAGCAGAGAGGGAGCAGCAGGTGCCACGTGGCCCCGAAGTCCCTTGAAAACTCCAGTCTAACCGGGTCAGCAGATGTACTGTCGGTTGAGCACCCAACATTGATCTTGAGGAGGAAGAAAAAAAATGATACAAATTACCTCAAGCAATAAGCTTGAAATGATTCGCCACTTCTTCATTATTGTCTCAAGTCCACTTTCCTGGGAACTGGCTTGGTGCAATATTTAACACTATGAAATTGTTTTGCCTAACTGAGTAATATCAGTATGTTACCTTTAAATAATAATTTCTTCATAAGGAACCTCAAAAGGCCTCATAAAAAATTTATTTTCTCTCATTTTATAAAAAACTAGGAAGCGAGTGAGGCAGAGGCTGACAAGGAATTCCAAGTTTTACCTTTGGTCCACTTTCATAGCCACGCCAAGCCAAGTCTGTTGTAATAAAAAGACTGTTTCCCTAATTCTAATCATCAACTTTTTTTCAGTCTGCTAGATAGGAAGGACTTCTGTTTTCCTTTTTGTGACACCTTCCAAATAATGCCCAAAGTTTTGCATGTGGAGAACCCTAAATATACATTCAATATTAAAACAAAATGAAATAAAATCATTGCCAATATTTCCTTGGCACAGGAAGAGCATTCTGAGAAAGACCTTTCTAGTCATTAGGAAAATAATCAACCCATTTCTTTTCCTATATTTTCATGTAAATTAAACTAAAACTTAATTAAATAAATCCATAGGATTCTTTCTATGAAATTTTCCGTTCTTGCTTTTGGGATTAATATTTTCTTGCGGCCACAGCAACTGGATGTGTTTATATTTAAATAATTTTTGTTTTTGATGAACTTCATTATCTTCGTATGAGTAAACTATTGATTTGATAACTTTTCATCCATAGGCACTGTTTCCACCTAGGTTCTTTTGATAACAGACCTCTTAAAAGCACAGGCATTACTTTTTATTAACATGTAAAGTATAAGTGTTAGAAAATGTAACAGAGAGTTTAAAATAGATACGGAATTTCTCCACTAAAGCATCATTCAGTCAGGACTGTGAGATACAAGTGACAACTCTAATTTAGGGTGCAGACAGTTAACCAAAAACAAATATTCAGAATTTTATGGATATAATTAGGCACTATTTTAAGCTTGTCCAATGGTTGGTATGGACCTCAATTATGAAATATGTATCTTTGAAAGTTAATACCATTGAATATTGGCACAATGGACATTTGGTTCTGCTGATTTTATTTAAGTTTTCAAAATTCATAAGGTTCTCTTTTATACATTATTAGTTTGCTCTCATGAAAAATAAAGGAGTCCATGAATGTTAATCAAATACAGAGGAATTATAAAAACACCGTAGCATTACCTTATCTGTAAAGTTCATGACACCATGATAAATATTACATAAATGAGCTTGCATGGTATAAACTATATTTAAATTGACCTTGGTCCTACGTAGTAGACACAAATAATGAATAAATCATACTGTATATACTAATGTCCTTTCATTTTTATAATGTTTAAAATTATTTATTTCAGTAACTTCCCATTGTAGTAGGTGAGGAGATTCTATCATAAATATAGGACAAAAATTCAGAAAGGAACCTTAATAGGACAATTGGATCTGCTAATGCAAATAAATCATGATGTAAAATCTCTTTTGTCCTTGCACAAAAATGGAAAGTTACAACATATGAAATTATCTGAGATTTTCTTCTTCTTTCCTAGTTTTTTGTTCAAGATAAAATCTAAAGCATTTCTAATAGAACAAAGTCAAGTACCTCAAATTGTATGATGGTGTTCTCATTCACACTCAGGTCATGCGTGGTAATGGAATGCTCACCAACCTCATTTGAGACAAACACCATTGCTGAATCTTCCTCACTGTTACATAAGGAAATCAAGGAATCCATTTAGGCAAAAGTTCATCAGGATTTGTATAGAGTAGTGGGTTTTTTTTTAGCTTCTTAAATACTTACGGTGCTCCCTTTGAAGAATATGGGCAATAAAGACCAATGTTGCCACCGGGATAGAAAAACCAGTTGTCTTCTCTGGGCCCAAAGTCAAAGGTATCCAGAAGCATCACAGGATTGTTTAAATTATTTCCATCAATGATGAAGTCATCAACAATCCAGATTTCTTCTTTCTTACCTAAGGTATTTTTGGATAAAGGAAGTTTTTCCAATGGTGAAAACCCGATGGACAGTTTTGCTCAATGAAAGAAAGTGCAGGGCAGAAGGAACTCAGTAACAGGTTAAAGATACTCTTTGAGACAAAGAAACACAAACTACGTAACAGTGTATTTACAATGATAAAAATGTGAAAAAATTAAGCTTTCTATCATATGAAATTGACATAGTATAGAGCAACTGCACTAATTTCAAAAAGCTGTGACAAATAGCCTGTGAAAATGTGTTGTCCCTCCAGTCACAGGGGTGCTGTGGACCCTTCATCGGCAAGAGTGGGCTCTGAGTTATGTTTCCACGGTTTAGGGCAATCTGTGAGAGTGGGCAGTCAGCCTCTGGATTTAGAACTGAGGTACACTAACTGATTCATAGAACAGCTCCTGGCATTTTAGAGTCAGCCTATGACTTAACATAATGCATCAGTCAGGCTAAAGGACCATGGCCATTAAAACACAGGCCTGATACATAATTTTATTTACTTGTTAAAAACTGCACAGAAGAAAACACACTGTTACATAATACTTTCTTTCCCTTAATGCTTTTCAAAACTCCTATGTTTATTTGAAGGTATGTGGGAATATAAAGAAAACTCGTAAAATCATTCCTGAGTCTGTCATAGAATTTGATTCAGCAATTTAGGCTGAGTGTTTAAGGAAGATAATGTTGGGGGGCAAACCTAGGCTGTTTTTGCAAAGCACTGTTTGGGAACTGGAAACAAGGTAAGACCATGCCATGTGCAAATATCAAGAGTCCCAAACATTGCTTCCTCACTGATTCCTACGTTTATCACAATCCTTGCACAGTATTAAAAAGGATTTGTAAACAGGAACCTGTAGATATAACCTTAGTATTTTTCTTTTTTTACTTTTTTCAGTGATTATAAAAGGTTATTTTTTTCTGTTCTCATGTTAAATTCATTTTATTTTTGACTTACTAGTTATAAAAGATATAGTTAAATTTTAGAGATGGCAGTATATTTTTCTTACCCATTTCTGTGTTACCTCTACAAAGAATCCACGTAATGTGATACCTCCATGCTAGTTAGGCCATTAAATGAATGATTTGGTAGAGCCTGGTCCTTTATGATGAGCAGTTAATACAAATATAGGAAGCAATAAAACATTACAAGTTTGCAAAATCATTTTCTGTTACCCTTTGAAAATGTTATTAAATTATACACTCATTTTAACTCATCACCAAAGCAAGTATATATGATAAGAATATTTTATCTAAGGCTCTATCTGCTTGGTGTATGTAAATCCCTCTCACTTTCTCATGGCATTTTGCTCTGATGTTGTTCTGTCTCACTAATGAAATGCCACACTCAGAAGAACTATATATTGCTAAATGAATTCAGCAAAAATGTGGTTACAGTTGATAAGTCCTTAATGGTCATTTTGGAGTATTTTTTAAAAGCCTTAGCTCTATGAGAGTATTCAGCTATATATACATCATCAAGAGAATTTGAGCCAAGTATGAAAAGATGAAAAAGATTTATTAAGTTGAAAATTCATTGGGACTCTTTAAAAGTGGAGTGTGTAATGTAAAATGTGTACTATGGACAGCTAAGTCCCTCAGTTGACAAACACTTCCTTCATACCTTAGAAACAAACATGTTAACATGCCAGTCAGTTTTGATCACAGGAGAACACGTGTATTTTTACCATTATTGTAAGGTTGCCAGAGTCTGAATCTTGTAGCGTTGGTTTGGGCCATGTATGGCAGGGGCACATTAATGAAGAGTATGTTGGTTGTTTGAGGGAAGTAAAATTCATCCATCAGGTGCCAAGTGATTCCCCCATTGATGGAGAATTGTAATAGGATAGAGTGAGACCTTTCTGGAGTACCTAGGAAGAAGATAACACAGGTGATAAAAAAAGGGAAATGGTAAGTTCTTAGACTATTCCTTTGGCATCAATGCATAAACCAACTTATATTCACATAGAGGCTTTATAGTCCGAATACTTCAGAGGCAACTTAAAGTGATGACAGGTTGGGGTTTCTGTATGTGTATATCCCCAAACACACACCAAATCTTGGATTTTCACACAGTAGCATCTGCCTCTCTTTTTTCTTCAAATATGAACAAGTGTCTTTCTGTATTTCATTTAGGAAATACTACATGAAATTGTTTGGATTCTATAGGCATCACGATTTTACAAAGGGTCAAACATTTAAATGTCAGGATACAAACAAAATCTGCTTAAATTTTTTTCATATTCAAATGGCATTATTTGTTAAGAAAATTGGTTAGTTTAATATGAAAGGTCAGAATGAAAAACACTTGGTTTCTTTTGGGTTCACATCTATAAAAGATCCAAGATTTCTGTAAGTGAATGCTTTTTATCTTTTAAATTATGTATTTATTAAAAATTTTTTATATGTCAAATATATTTTATTTTATTTACTTATTTTTATTGAAGTGTAGTTGGTATACAATATTATACTGGTTTCAAGTATACAACATAATGATTCAACAGTTATGTACGTTAGTTATTAAATCCTCACCCTAGCTAAAGTTGTTACTATCTGTTACCATAGAAGGATGTTACAGAACTATTGACTATATTCTCTATGCTGTCATAAGTTAATGTTTCTAAATTTAAAATTCTTATAGCTAGAAAGTAGTGGTGGAAAAAAGACTCAGGGACATGATGATAAATTTAACTACCATAAAACCAATGTGATTACTACAGCTGTATGAAATTATTATAAAAAAGCTAGTTATCTTACCCTTATATTAAGATGAATTTGTATTTTAGAAGAACATTTTTGAACATTTATTTACGGAAATTTATGTTAGCTCTTTCATAAAGCAAAATTTATGGGCCTTAAATCCACTATTTCCTTGTGGAGGAAGAATTGTACATGGGGGAATTTACTTGATGGGAAATAATGAATTTGTACCCATAGAACTGACTTACCTTTTGCTATAAACCTAAGTGAGAACTGTACATACATAGTATTGGTACAGTCTAAATCTCTTGAAATAAGCATCCTTAGTCCTTCCTGAAAACAAAAACACATATGTTAAGCAATCTTATTTGCAAAATTATTTTCCTTTGGTATTATACACCTAACTTGTACTAGCTAAATAATAGATACATATAAGTAGTGATCAAGAAGCAATATTTGGTCCAGTTTAAAATGAAAAATGGATCATTTCCTCTTTCTTAGGGCTTCCATTTCCTATGCCTGAATAACACAATTTCATTGTTTCAACTCTAAGTCACACTTAGAGTGCAAAAATGGCAGCATTGCATATCTACGGGCCTTTTAAAAAACTAGCCTCCTTCGATCACACTGTGGTGAGAGGAGTAAGGAGGAAACAGATGGGACGTGTGCCACGTGCTCCTGCTGGAAGCTGGAACTAATAGGTAACTTTTGCAGGGTTCCTAGGAGTCTTAGGAACTTACTACTCCTTTGTGTGCTCTGACAGCCCCGAGAGGCTCTCATTCAGGCTAACAAAACACCCTCCAGTTGGTCAAGTTAAATAAGGCATCACTAAGCAAGCCCCCATGTCTCAGCTGTAACCATTCATGCAGGGAAGCCAAGGAAGAAGGAGAGCGATCACATTAGCTTTAGTAATTTTTTCTGCTAATAAACCATTTCTGGTTGCCTGGGACTGGCAGCCCCATAGCTGGTTTTTTCCCTGTATACACAGGATTGTGGTGACAGTTAGTAAAATAGAATTTCACTATGTAAATGTCCTAAAGTGCAAACAGGCCTTTTTGTTTCTGAGCTGTGACTTCTGAGTGACTGGTCGGTGGTAGGAGGCTGTGGGATACTGATGGGACACTGCCCACTGATTTCTTAATTATCAACTCGCAAATACCAAATGTAATTTTAGCTAGAGAAAGCAAATTCTTCCTTTTCTTAACACTTACTGTAGAGCATATTCCTCAATAGCTGAACGATTTTAAATGGAATTTTGTAATAGCAACCACATAGTGAGTGGCTACAACATGTTGAATTCTAAAATACATATGTTACTCCTTTAAAGCACCTGGCACTCCTAAGGGAAAGATATTATTGTCTTCATGCTGCAGATGAGGAAACTGGAACTCAGAGAGGGATAGTAACTTGCCCAAGATTACATAGTTTGTAAGTGGTGATGGCAGGATTTGAACTCAGATATATTAGTTTCTGAAATTTATCCTCCATCCTTTATGAGATACCACTGTTTTGTTTATTAAGTCATCTTTTGGTTTGGGAGAAGAAATCCAGATAATGTTGAAGTTAGAATTTAATGTTTTTTGATATCACTGAGAATTATTTGATATCATAATGAAGAAGGCAATGGCACTTACGTCCCTCCCTCAATTTCACAAAGCAGAGATTCAAACTTCCAGGATGGAAGGTTTCTGTGTAAACACCTGTATTTCCAGGCTTTGTTTTCCTTTCATCCTAGTAACTCACTGCCCTGCTCAGTCCAGGATACTCGATCAGTGCCTGTTCTTCATGTCTCAGTGTTTCCACCAGTGTGTGTCCCTCACACACAAGCATGAAGCCCTGCATGTTTTTACAGCTTTGTGCCATGTGGAGGCTGAAGCTCTAGGGAAAGGTGGCTTTTGCAGCTTAGAATGAAAACGCTGTCAGGTTAATAGGTGTAGATCCAGATTATAAATATCCCTTGCTAACATCATGATAAAAGAATATGATTACTCTTCCCCTTTGCTTACGGAATTTAAGTATAAAATTGTTCCCACCGGCAAATACAAGTCAGTCATAAAAGGATCCACTTCACACTATATCCTGTAGGAGCAATTTTGTTCAAAGTGGACATGATCTGTGATATGAAAGTATCTTTCTTTCTTATTTGCAAAATTTGTATATAGTTCAGCACTTGATATTAATTACATGAATTGTCAAGCCCTGCTTATGCATATATTATGGTTGACACAGATATGTTTCTTTTCTCATCCTTTTTCCAGTTCAGTAATTCATTTGCATCCAACAAGTTATTTCAATAGCTGGTAGTACTATTGAATCTATAAACAATAAAAAGAGACTATCATTTCCTTTTTTATGAAGAAGTACCTTTCTAGGTCAGACTGCAACCTACTGAAAGGTACAATCTGAGCCCTCTCTCCATCTCGCAGAGCTGATAATGTATCTAAAACATATAGTGCTTGGCTGTTCTTGCATTTGGATGAATAAAAGACTATGGTTCTTCCTCCTTTATAGGATCTACGGTCTAGGTTAATGCTACTGCTGAAAAATTGATCAGGTAAAGATATCTGAATCGTGAAAAGGCACACAGCTTCTGCTTTTTGGTCTTGTCAACCACTTTTAACAGATCAGAAGTGAGCTAGGGGTAATGGGAGTTAAAGCCTTAGACAGAACTTAAAACACACACACACACACACACACACACACACACACAAACCAGGAGTTTCTACTCTGAAATATTCTGCCTCAATTTCTTTGTTCCTCACAACTCCAAACAACTTGTAAATCTCTCAGACCCCAAAGTATTTTTCTTTCTTATCTACACTTAGAAATTCTGGATTGAAACAAGGATGATAGGGAACATCTATTAACTCTAACTGAGAGTTTCAGGATGTCCAATTTTCTAAGTATTGGGTGTTAATTGTTAAGGTTGTACAGAAACCCTTCAGATTTTAAAGATTTCATTTATTCTCCTAGATCAGCCTATTTCCCCATGTGGAGGAAGGTGGGATATACCAAGTATTCACATATGAAGATGTTGCCAGAGCCTTTCACACAACTGCTTAACCCTCTCTAACTGACATCTAGGTTGAAATACAAATATATACTGACAATGTTTGAGAATGCTATTTAACTTGTCTTCAATGTTTTGTTTCCTTAAAGTCACTGAATGGTTCTACTGACAAGAGGAAATGAGAAGAAAGAAAGGAAAAACAAAGACCTGTCATAAAACCATTTAAAATACATTGCAAGGTAAATATTCAGTAACATGCTCCGTTGCAGAAGACAGGATTCTGAAATTACATATGCATAATTTTTATATACATAATTCCAGAAGAAAAAAGGTCTGATTTACCCAAGCAGAGGAAAAGTTTCATGCCTGTGTGATCCTAAAAAAATGATAGCACTGGATTGAAGTTGGTATGGGCTAGAAGACGATAACTATGTCTAAAACATTACGCCATCTGAATCAAGTCAGAAATGTATTTGTGTGGAACAGTGAAAGACAAAAGGAATTTCAGTCCTAGTGTAAAGCAGTAGAATATTCTCTGACCCCTTTAAAAATGAGAGATGTTCCAGATTTGATGGTTTCTCCATTCAGATTGCCCCTGTCTGCACCATACACTTCAGGCCATAGGTCAGGATGTACATTCCCATTGAAATCATCTTTAAGAATTGAGGGCAGAGGAGTGACAGGAACACAGCAAGTTCCACCAAAGCCCCGGTCACACCTAGAAAAAAAGGAGTGGAGGAAATGCATTGTCATGAGTTCAAGAAGCCATTGTTATTTTTGCAATGCAAAAAAAAGAAATTGCCTGTTTTATTAACTTACACACAGTGCCCAGCATCACAAATCCCTCGTCCCGAGCACATCCAAGGGCACCCTGTGGCCAGTACAACCTGATCGATTGCCCAGGAGCCAGCCCCTGCAGTGTAGTTGGCCTGTATCCATCTGAACCGGGTCCTGGGAGATCTAGCCAAAGGAAACACACTTGGTTTGTGTCAAAGCCACCTCAAAAGCACAAAAACATTTATTTTATTTCTCCTTCTGCCTTCATGTGCCAAACTCTGGGTGCCAGTTCCCTCTTATTTGAGATACTTTATTGTCATACCATGTACTGGGTGATTATTTCCTCTGGGTCTACAGACAGGAGAGCAGAAAATGAGCTTTGTAAATATGTCATCATTTCTTTCATACAAGTCTCTGAACCTGTGAGTGATGGGAAAGTTATTTTGAACTATCAATTTATTCCGTTTGAACTACATGTAGAATTTTCGTTTTTTGCTTTGAGGCTTTTACTGCTACTCAGAACTGGGAAAGAGATCAAGGATGATAAACATGAAGGAAGAATTGGAATCTTACAAAGTTCTTGCCACTAGGTTCCTGTTCTATGTCCCTGGGTGGTTCCTGAGATAGGAAATGTAAGCCCCATTGAACTGCTGCCTCTATTTGGCACCTGAGATTCTGGCTCCCTAAAGGTTAGGACCAGAATGATGGGATGTGCCCCTGTACTTTCTATTCTGTTTGCCACTGCCATTTGGAATATACTATCAGAAGATTACCTTATCCAGAAATATACGCAGCCTTACTGAACAGCAGTAGCAGTCACTCATTTAGGAACAGACAGCATAGCCCAAGTTTGTTAGTCACTTATTTGGAATGTGGACCACAGTCGGCTTGAAGCAGAATTTCAATAGTAACATTTCAAGCACTATTGTTTCCCCTACACAAGTTCTCCAGAAACACAACACAGCTGCCATTTCTTCACAGAAATCTAATCACGTCACCACTATGCTTAACACCCTTCAGTGGTTCTCCAGCACATGCAATACCAAGGCCAAACTGCTTATGATCACACACAGGTCCTTTTATCATCTGCCCTCTTCCCTTGCCTTATCTTTCCCTATTTCTTGCCTCACAATTATACTCTGACAGCACTGAATCCTTGAATTTCCCCATCAACTCATGCTTTTTCTGGTCTCTGGGATTTTGTTTTGCTAACAACAGCACAAATGCCCTCCCACAAGCAAGCCCCCTTCACTAGGACATGCTCTCATCACTTATTTAGACTCAGCTCAGACATCAGATCCTCTGGGAGGCTCCCAGATCTCCCCAAACTGAGTCAGGGGAGATATCCCCCTGTGTTGCAATAATATTCCTGAGTATTATGTCTGCTATCATTTTATATCATAAATAACTGCTTAGATCTCTGTTACCCCAAATAATATATTCGGATCTTGGCATCAGCTTATTCATTTTGTATCAGAGTTCCGAAACACAACTCCATATATTTAATAAATGTTGAATAAAAATAAAGTGAATAAATGAACTACACATAAGTATTTTTTAAAAGTCTGGGAGTCCATAGGAAACCACTTTAAGTTAAACATTAAAATTTTGGTTTGCTGAATTTTAGTTCTGCTACTTGGTTGTGCATCTCTGAATCAGAATTGAATCAATAAAACAGAAACCACTTTAAGCATTTAACACAGAATTTAATGCAAAGATTTGGATGCAGTTAGTGGCAGAGCTGAGAAGCCTACAGGGGCGGTGGGGAAAGCAAAGTTTAGCAAAGTCAGGAAGCCATTACGAGTCCAAAGCTGTAGGGACACAAGGGAGGGGACTTCATTGCTGGAGCCCAGGGGCCAGGGTCCCCAGGAGGGCCCTCAGAAGGAGGCGGAGCCTCTGAAGTTGGCCAAGATACACTTGAGGCAGAAAGGGAGGGGGAGGAATACCCTGGATTCTCTCTCCTTTCACCCTCCAATCTCTTGTCTGCCACTGTCTAAGTCTATCAGGAGGCCAGCAGATACAGGAGGTTGGCCAATGCAGCTTGCAGATGCCAACTTGCAGCAATTCAGAACAGTGCAGTGGAAGGGAGAGGCAGGGATCTGAGGGGAACAGTCCCAGGCTGGCAGAATCCCTAACCAGCCACCACAGTACACAACAGAGTCTAGAAAGACCCCAAATTCTCCAAATGCCTAAACCACAAAAGTGGAAGCCTGTTATAAGTCAAATACAGCTCTTGAATGTGATCTGAAATGCTGGGGAAGGGAAGAAAGATGTAAAACAATGTGAGCATTCCAAGGGAACCAACCTGTTATTCTTTCTGTGGTACTGAGATTAAAAACAAACAAGCAAATAACTAAGGATACTCCTCAATGTGTGATGATTTCACACACTGCTTTATGTGAATAAGCATCAGTCTGGTTATTGGGTAGACTATTTATTTTTAAAACAGCTTAAAAACGGAATCTGGTAGGCAGTCTTCAAGTTGCCAAAGAACAGAAAAGTTCAGTCTCATAAAGCTTTTGGAACTCTCTAACCACATTCAAAAACTGCCACCCAAAGCACCTTGCACTTTTTTTTTTTCTGGCACATTCCATGCATAATTACCATGAGAGAGTAATAGAATGAATTGCCAAGTGGAATCACAATTATTTTCAAGTTAGGTGACAGAAACCTAAAGTTCTGACATGGAGCCAGAAGACAATTCTCACATGGTGGAGGGTGGAAGGTAGACAGTGATCCGCTTCCAATTCTGGAATCTTTCTGAGGTGTAAATTGAACTTTCTGTGTAGTGCAGACAGCCAATGGTTGGAGGAACACACTCTTCGGTGACAAGATGCCAGTCCCTGCCATTGTTTAGAGAATACTGGAGCTGTACGCTGTGGGAGCTGCTGAAGGGCTTGCTACAACCCATGCTCATTTCGAACTGCAAGAAGGTTGATGCTGACACATGAAAGTCCCAGGTCTCAGCATAACGAGGTTTCCCTACAAAAAAGGGAAAGTTTAATGGTAGCATATAATTGTGCTCTTTTAAAAAAATGTGTCATTTTTGCTTATAATGAACACTTTCAGTAGAAAACAAAAATCATGTCATATCTGAAGTACCTCATAGGAGCTGAGACTTTCCACCTCACATTAACAGTTTCTTTTTGGTTAGCAGACTCAGAAATAATGGAAGGCTGTTAACCTGAAAAGCTTTACTATCTTGAGAAGGCCTAACATAGAATCTCATGTCTGCCATTCTGCAAATTATGAAACATGTCTTCAGATAGATATTTTTTGCTCTGTTTTTAAGAAACCTTGGCTATATTATAACATGCTCTGTGAGAGACAGTTCCAGTGGCAACTGTCACTGGGCTTGCCAAGTTACATTAGAGGACAAGTCTTTTTTCCTTCCCCAAGAGCCTTCCCCAGGACAGGCAGTTATGTACACAATTTTACATCAGAGAATCTCCTCTTGAGGTTTAGTTGATTGAGTCCTCTAGTTAATTAAATATTCCCCCTTTATCTGGTGGAAATATATACCTATGCTTTCAGTGAATATCAGAGCCGTATCCATGGAAAGACAGTCAATATCAACTTGACCTCCTTGGATTCGATACCAGTTGGTTTGCAAATCTATAGAGCCATCAAATTTGTCTTGAAACCCAGTTTGAGAGCTGTCATTCATTCCTATAAGGACATCATCTAAGGCCCACTGGGCTGAATGCTTCCCTGAAATCAGATGAATGAATAAAGGCAATTAGAGAAGTTTCATTAGATAGCAATATGAATATGTTTATAACTGTGATGTTAAATCCAATTGTCTAGGAAATTACAGAAAATTAAGAAACACACAATATAATGCGGCTTTAACTGTGTGATCTACAAGATACCAGGGAAGTTGGGGTGAGCAGGAATATGAATAAAGGCAATTAGAGAAGTTTCATTAGATAGCAATATGAATATGTTTATAACTGTGATGTTAAATCCAATTGTCTAGGAAATTACAGAAAATTAAGAAACACACAATATAATGCGGCTTTAACTGTGTGATCTACAAGATACCAGGGAAGTTGGGGTGAGCAGGAACTTGCCATGTTGGGGTTGCCACCATCGAAAAGCTGTTGCAGGCGTCTTGGCCTCCCGTGGCAGGTCAATGGAAATGATCTGTGGTTCCAGGAATGACATGAAGTCCAACTCTCGAAGCAAATGCCAGAGTATTCCATTGTCATTTGAATACTGAACAACAAGCCCTGAGTTTAAAGACATAAATCCAGTTACTTGGACAGCTTTCCTAGAGGCAAAAAGGTAAGGAACAGTGTTTTTTAAATGGTGAGACTGTAGCATAAACTTTAAATTGCATCTCATAGAATGAGGGCACATTCTTCTAACTTCCAAGGCATGAATTAGTAGACCTGAAGGCTCATCAATTCTTTGACAGTTTTTAATGCATCAACTCCCAGGAAATGGAGAAAGAAAATACATAAGCTCTTTAAAAGACCACTCAGCTTAGTATGAGCGATGAGTAGCTTGGTAAGGGAGACATAAAAATCCACTCCATGTATTTGAATTTTAGATTCTGTCCTGCACATTACAAAGTCTCATATCATTATTATATATGCAGAAGTAACATCTCAATCTTCCCAGCACAAAGTCGAGTTGTGTTCTTTTTGGCTGAAGCACTAGACAGTAAGCACAGCCCAATCGGAAATTCTATTAAGCAGCAGGATCCTTTTACTGGCATTTCACACTTTGGCAGACCACGGTCAGTGAAGCCTGAATATAGCCAAATTACTAAACAGCAGAGCAGAAAAACTCACTCCCCTCCACTGGTAGCTCTACTGTCTTTCTCTGTGTCACCCTTTCCCCTTTCGCTCACCCCATCTACCCAAGGTCCCGCTGTCTGTCACCAGAGAGACGTGACTTAGGGACATGCCCCTTAAAGTGAAGGCACTGCACGTGCTGCCCTTGATACCTCACCCAGAAACATCTGTGTTTAAAAAGAGGACAGAGGGCAAGGGTACTGGGGAATACAAGGGGAAACACTGTTAATGATGAAATGGTGGGAATCAACAGAAGACACACACACACACACACACACACACACACACACACACAGATACATACACACACACACATATTTTTTGAGGGCTTTCTCGGTACCTTTCTAATTCCTTATTCCGTTACTGTTCCTAAGCCTGGCACTGCATATTCATAATTATAACTAGGGATACTGAAGTACTTTCTGAGTGTTCACAGAAATTATATTCAGTAAAATTGTGTTTGTTACATTAATTTCATTATACTCTAACATTTTTTTGGGAAATTTTAAATCATTCATGATACATACAATGACTTATTAGTTTCTTCATTGCTGACTGGTTAGAATATCTCAATCCCTTTCTCATGCTCGATATCAAAGAGTTTACTACAATTAGATTTCAGGAAATATTATGATAAAATATAGAACTAAAAGAAAGCTTTTTAAAACTCATTTATTGCACATAGAATTATCGTCACCACATCTGGCAAGGGATAATGACAGGAAAAACAACGGCTAAGAGGCAAAAATCAGAATTCTCAGGAGAATTAATCTTACCACATTTAAAACAGAACACATCATCATTTTTAATCAGAGGATAAAAACAGCTCAAAGAATGGGAGCTCTTTGGGAAAACAGTAATCTGTATACAGGTATAGACAACAGCAGAGCTTCATGGGTAGAGGCGAGACCCAGGTGCTGGAGAAGGGAGGGAGTCACGCCAAGTTCATGAAGAAAACTGAAGCTAGGGTATTTCTGGTCTCTACTCTAGTCAAGTGGAGGAGTGTCAGGCAAAACTCCCATCTCCAACCCTTGATGTTTATTCAAAATACGTCCTATTGGCTTTTGAATGTGATTTTAGGTGGCTGAGAGAGCAGACATTCTGTAGTCTTTCCTATGTTAATACAGTTTACATTTGTGTTAATAGAGTTTACATTTAGTAAGATGAGAGGGAGATGGAATAATTTAGATAGTTATCTGGGGATAACTTATTCAGAGGATAAATTATAGTACCAGAAATGAAGCATCATGAGAACAAAATTCCACTGGCTGGTTCTTTCTAGTACCTTCTACTCAATGTACTGTCCAAGGACCTGCATAAGTTGGGAGTAGTTCCTACCTGTGGTAGTTTTAAAACACATTCACAGATTTCAAGTAGTGGAGCTCGATTCTCCCTTTTCTGAGTGTGCTTGGACTCAGTAGCTTGCTTCTACCAAAGAATATGGTAGAAGCGACAGTAAGTGACTTTTGGGACAGGGCCACTAAAGGTACTGCTCTTTCTTTCTTGCTCTCCTGCTCGGTGGAGAGCCAGCTGACAGGTGGTAAGGAGACTCAAGCAGCCTCTGGACAGGTCCACATAGGGAGAAACTGAGGCCGCTTGCCAACTGCGTGTGAGTGAGTATCTTGGATAAAGATCCTCCAGCCCTGGGTGAGTCTTCAGATGACTGTACCCCTCCTGGCTTCTATCTTGGGGCAACCTCATGAACTCCTGAGACAGAACCATCCAGCTAAGCTGCTTCTGAATTCCTGACTCACAGAAACTAGAAAATAACTTGTCTTCAGCTACCCAGTTTTGGAGTCATTTCTTATGCACCTGTCACCCCAGGCCCTCTGAATCAGAATCTGTATTTTAAAGCCTCTGAAAGGATTCAGATGTATGTTAGATTACAGGAAGCATGGCTCAAGAGGCCCTATTCCATTTGGCTTCTGCTCATAGCCTTTCTCCTCAGGAACTTCTTTAGGAGTGTCACATATGCCTCAGGCAGAAGCAAGATGCAGAGATGAGGGCCCCAGTTGCCAAGGACAAGGAACTCCCAAGTATGAAAGAAGGGAGAAACGTAAGAAAGGGGACAGTACCCATATTCCATATCAAATGCTGAGCCGCATTAGCTGTGTCGTCTAACACATTGTACATCTGACTACATCAAGCCATTTTAGCTCATCTACTGAGTGTTTAGAGCATGTAAAAAACATTTCTCATTTTAAATTACCACTCCATCTGCTTTCTGCCCAGTCTTATTGAAAATAGCCTAATTTTGCTTTTAATTCCAAACATGTAAGTTGACGCTTCAGCTTGAGTAAGTAGAAAATCTTTACTTTTATCAGAAGAGTTTTGTTCTAGGATTTAGGCAGATGTACATTTTAACGACCAGTTTTCAAAAAAGGCTGAGAAATGCCTGTGGGATGTGAATTACACAGCCGGGAGTTTAAAAAAAAATGGCTCAAGAATGGTTGAAAAAAAGTTGCTTGTTCCTAAAGCGACCCCCCAGGAATTTGCCTCACAGAGCAGATAATAGCACTGGTAATCAGAGGTTAAGGATAGAGCCTAGCATCATATCTATGACAAGGGGTTGCTTCCCAGTAAAATCTGCTCAATTTTTTTAAACTCATATACAAATAGTGATACAGATCTGTAATTTTCAGAAGAGTCATGCATACAATTGCAATACTGTCCCTACGATGAGCTATTTTAAAATAGTGATTTTGTTACAAGGCTTAAAGAAAGCATTAAAATGCTCTACCTCTTCAATGAGAAAACAAGGTCCTGAGGACAGGACCCCATCCTCTTCGGCATCTCTCAAAGCTCCTGTCTCTGTGAGGCAGAGCACGTGCTCTAGAAATATTCACTTTGAACTACTTACTGTTTCTGTAGGATGATCTTGTAAAAACATAAATTATTATTACATTGCTGCCTGGCGTATAAGCCTTCAGTTGGCTTCCATGACACATGGATTCAGACGCATTCTCCTTACTGTTGTTCGGCATGATTCTGCCTGACTCGGCTCCTGCCCCATATCTCTGACCACCCCCATCCGTCATGAGCTCCGAGCCACACTAGCCTTCTTTCTGTTCCTTCAATACCATTCTTCTCCTCTTCATAGCTTTGCTGTTTCTCCTGACTGGAAAACTTTCCCTGATCATGTGTGGGCTCCTTTATACCCTTTGGATTTCAGTTTCCATGTCACTTCCTCAGTGAGCCCCCTCCCAGACCACTCTATCTAGATCAACATCTCCTGCAGAAGCTTACTTTCCATTTTATCAGCTTATTTATTTCCATCTAGCTGATTCGTCTAACATCTTGCTTATTTATTCTTCTTTACTGTTTATTTGATGACTCCTCACTAATGTTTGTGTTGTTAAGGGCAGGGATTTTGTTTGCTGTGATCACTGGTGCCACACTGGTTCTTCCCTATCGTTTGCACTTTGTGCCCTTCATCTCATTGTCTCTTTCCCTCTGCCACATGGCTGGCAACACTCAGAATCCACTCAGCAGCTGCTTCATTATCCCGGTGCTAGAATGAGGATGTTAGATAGATTCACAGTGAAAATGCAGCACAACAGAGAAAACTTTGTTTTCAACCTACTGAGCTTTAAAGGGCTCTCTGTTATTGCAGCGTAACCTGGCTCATATGACTGATGCATGAGTCCTGGGAACACTGTGTGGGCAGCTCCTGGAAGTGTCTGGCTTAGAGCAGATTCCTGAGAAATATTTGTCAAAGAGATTAGGAAACACAAAAGGGTCTATGAAAGTTTCTAGACTGCTGCTTCAGTAAATGGATGATCTGGGTTATTACTAGATTGAAAGTACTGAGATACTCAGAAAAAGTCATGAAAACTTCCAGTTAGGGATGGTAGGGCCAAGGACATTTAGAACTGATGAACAGCACTCTCGGTAGTTGTGTTGACTCACAGGTACAGTTTAGGCCAATAGGTTTTACACAGTCATGCCTGACATAATAACAAATACAGAAGCTGTGAAAGTCTTCACATGTGGTTCATGAGATCAAGGTTTGTAGTAAGACCCATGTGAGAAGCCCATGGATTCTGTGCTAGGAGCCAACTCACACTTGGGGTCCTTTAGGAATCCCATCATATTTATAGAGCTCCTGAAGCTCTGTATGCTTCAAGCCTTTTGCAGTTCTTTTAGAACTGAATCACTGAGGCAGAAGATGGTATGGATGCCTAGAGAATAGAGTTTTGGGCAAGGAGAGAGGCAGTATGTCGGTGGTTAAGACTCACATTCTGAAGCCAGCATGAGTGGTTGGGATCTCTGCTCATCCACTCACTAACTGCATGACCTTGAGTAGGTAACGTCCTTCCTGTGCCTTGGCCTCTACGTCTATAAAATAGGACTAATAGTAGTACCTATGGCAAAGGGGTATAGAGAGTAAACTAGTACAAATGAAATGCTTGGAACAGCTTGTTGCACATAATAGGTGCTCAGTAAAAGTTAATGTTTATTATTAACTGCTTCTTCTACAGAAGGATTCCAGTACCCTCACAGTGTTCATGGGCAGGAAGAAAAGCGTTACCTGTGTTCAGTAATGCCCTACGCAAAAAGTCTCTAACCCTGTGCTGAATGTGAAAGTCTGCTATTTTTTTCTCCCTAGGACAAGTTGTAAAGGGACAGATGTTAAAACAAAATACACTTTGACACAGAACAGACATGATGCTTTTCAAGCATAAGGACCTGGATGGGGAATCTTAGAGATCATGGCTCTATTTCAGCTACCCATTTAATGACAGAGAAGAGAAGAGAAGGAGTAATTCAGGGTAGTGTATCCCTTTGCAGAATCCTGGCCAAACTTTGGGAAGAAAGGAGACTAATTGCCAACAGTAACTTTAATTTCTATGGAAATATAGAAGATTACCTTCATTTCTAGCTCTTGGTTTGATGCAGGTAATCCCTGAAGTTTTGCTTCCAATTTGTATATAAAACTGAACTAGTCTGGGAAACAAACAAACAAGCATTTCAGTTTACTTACAAATTGAGTATTTAGAAGAGATTTAACCTTTTGTATTTTGACAGATTAAAAAAAAACTGTGATTCTTAAGTATTGTTTTAAGATAAAAAGGGCATATGACAAGCAGAAACTACAAAGATTATAAAGTAAGTTAATCTGGTCACTATTTTAAAAAGTTAATTAACGTGACCATTAATTTTATTCTATGATGATTTTAAAACAAAAGGAAATAGTTTACCTCCATTTCATTGTGACAGTCTGATGTAATTTAATGAAATCATTGAAATAGAAATTCCTTTAATCAAGATAATACTATCCTTGAAAATGCAATATGAGGAAAAAATCTAGGGTTAATAAGCTGAATGCTATATTTGTTTAAGGCCAGATAATTACTTATGTTACCGATTTAGATTCAGATGGTTTAATTTTCCCCAACTGACACTCACTCTATGTGATGTGAATTAGGCCTCAGGTCTTGGTAAACCAACAGAGCCTATATGACCTGTATTCTTCTGAGAACTCAGAAGGGGAATGATACTGAAGGCAGAAAAAATATGACACAGAGCCCCAGATTTTAGTGAGGATGATGTCTAAAAGTTTCAAACATTTCTTCAGTTTTCTTTCTTCCAATTCTCAAATAATTTAATTGACAATAAAAAAGCACAGTTTTATTTTAGATGTGCTACTATTTCATTTGACCTTAAAGCCAAGTAGGTATTTATTTTACCAGTAGGTGTCAGTGTAGGTACTTAAAATTTCTGGAGCAGTTGCTAGTAAACAAATACAAATAAATGTAGATAAACAGGATATATCATTTTCTGACACACAGTTTAAAGGGAAAAAAAATCTTTAGTTCACCTGGCATATATTAAAAATTATACCAAACAGTCTTCATATTAACAGAGAACTTTAGAAAACCAAGCTGACATACATTAGACTTAAAGGTCTTGTAATGACTGAGTACTGATTAATGAATTGTGATTTAAGTTTTGTAGAACCTATTTATTATTAAGTTAAAGTTATGCTTCATTTTTACATATCAGAATCTATATATGGAAACATTATTATGTAAACCTTCAATAACAGAACAGAGTGCTTTGGGTTAGACCACATGGTGGTAAATGCCAAGTTCACAGGGGAGTACATGAGTTACTTACTTACCTGATATACCTGGTGTCCAGAGGGACAGTCCTTGCTTCCCTTTTCCCGGGGCCATTGAAGTAGAGAGATTTACCATCATTAAGTGTTCCACAGCCTGTTCCAACCTGACCTCCAGTGATCTTGTACCACAGAGGGCTAAGCTTCCCCTCAAACCTATCAAACATCTCACTGTGATTAGGGATGTTAGACACGCAGGTTCCTTGTGCAGCTTCAGAGAAAAGAAATACATAGGGAGAGGTTCTGCTGAAATCACTAAATATCAGAAGGTATAATGTACAGAGCTTAGGCAAAGAAGCATTTCCACAGATGTCGGGGAAAGAAACCATGTGGAGGTTTGTATTTCACAACTGTTTACCTAAATATACTCATCACTACCATCATCAAAAACACTATTCTGCCTCTATAATTTTTATTTTTTAGAAGAGAGACATTGGGAACCACACATTTCCATGATTCTTGCTATTTAGAGGATTTGTGCAAGCTGAAAAACAAATTTTATCCATAGTAAAATGTGCTGAGTTGTTTATCTCCTATTATAGGATCAACAAGGGGAGTTAGTCCCAGATTTCAAAAGACCACCCTGGATGCCACGAGCGGCTGCACTCCCCGCAGAAGGCCTGCAGCAACACGTGTTTGTTGTCGGTCAAGTGCCAGACGAAGGGCAGAGCACTGAGAAGCTGGGAAGTATCCTTTTAAAGTTGCCTCTGGGAAAATTCTAAAAAGAGGTCTTGAAGCTTATAATATATTCTTCATTTTATTCTTTAATCTCTGCTTCCTTTTTTATTTTTGCTTATAGCAACATCCAAAGGTGACTGTGGTCAGAAAATACTTCCCTTGTAAAGTTCTCTTTTGGCAGTCTTGCATCTATCATTCCATAATTTGGTTTTTATTTTAAATTTATCAAAGTACATTTCTTACAAAAAGCAATGTAAAGAGCACAAGGCTACCCCTGAAGTCAAGTGAGTAAGAGTTTCAGATTGGGTTTTACAGAATGACAGCCAGGGTTTGAAGTCTAGTTTCAGCAATTCCTAGCTGTGTGACCTTGGGAGAGTCTGTATTTATTTCCTAAACATAAAAAGAGACAATAACAGCATGATGGCACAAGGTTATTATTGGAATTATATGAGCAGAAATAAAAGCACTTACTATGATGCCTGGCATTCAGCAGGGCCTCAAACTATGTTAATCATTATTACTATTACTAATAAATAACTCCTTTAAGCAGTGAATTTGTGTTATCATATTTTTCTTCCTCAGGTGGCTCAAACTACAAAATATTTTAGTAACCTATGTGCCTGGATTACAAATTCCTACAATTAAGACTTAAAGAAAAATAATCTCAGAATGCATACTCTTGGAAGATCTGAAATGAAATATAGTAATTAGAGATTAATATTTTATAAACAACCATCAGACACATGTCTGTAGCCTTACCGGTGTACCCCAGGTCACAGAAACACACCCCTGAAACACAGTCCCCGTGGCCGCTGCAGTAACTGGAACAAGGCTCCGAAATGTACACTCCATCCAAACCAAAGGCAGGCACATTTTTCTGTGAGCTGCTCTCCTGGATCCATCGGAATCTGGTCTTACTGTTGGGAGAAACAACACACGGTTCTTGAACCAGTATCTCATACTGAATGAAGCGCTGAAATATAGAACAGTCCAGAAATATTCAAGAGAGATTTAGTAGTTTTTGAAAGTCATGTCTGCTTGATTGGACATTGACTCTTTATAAGGTGTCCTTCTCAGATCTTCTCCAGACTTGCTGATGTCTTCTTCAGCACAAATGTTTCACTACCAGGACAACAGCAGGTGCAGAAGACTTCTGATGGCCAGAAACATACTGTACATTTTCACTTGGATATTTTCCTGCTGCATGTTTTTTTGGTAATAAATAAAATCCAGAAAGATATTCCTTTCACTTAATATTTCAGCCTTCCATTGCACTATTTTTGTGGATAGTTTCAAAGGAGGGTACTTGGGAATTTTGAGACCCACGAGTAGAATTTTCTTTGTTAGGACATATAAGGTGACCCTGGCTATTTCTACTGGTGTGGTTCTGGTAGAGAAGCATTAAGTTTGTGCTAATGGCTCAACTCCTACCTGCTACCTTGCTTGCCTTCCTTTTTACCTCTCATCTTCAAATCTATGCAACACTCGTTCCATGAAATCTTAGCAACCCAGCTGGGGTGACAGTGAACACTGGTAACTACCAAGGAACAAATGAGGGACCTGTTGCCGGTGTTTCAAAACCCTGGAATGCTGCGGGCTGGGCAGCTGCCAGCCCTCCCCGTGGCCCCAGCTTTGAGGCTGCCAAATCAAACCTTGCCAGTTGCTTTCTCATCTTTTCAATCCTTCCATTTCATCTCTTTCATTTCAAACATAGGGGAACCCACACACATCTATAATTTCACACCAGGAAAATACCTTTTCCTCCTCAGTTCTACTGACATCAAGAGAGGAGATGAATTAGGCTATCTAAATCCCAGTTAATTTTGCCGTCGATATTTATATACATTTGAGTGAATCCAGTTTCTTGGTAAAGAGAGGTAAAGAATCTTAAAGATTAATGAAGGCTGTCAAAGAGAACTGTAGACAGTTCTTTTTCCCTCTGTTATTGGGACAATAATATGGCAGCATATCAGAATGCATTTCTTTCTGGCTCTTCTAGTAGCTTTGCTTATTTGGCAACACAGGACCATAACCCTGGCTTTTTTTTTCTTTATTATTTTAAGTTACCTAGTCTTGGCAAATTTGCAAAATGTAACCAACAGTGCTTTTTACTAGGTTTGAAAGTGTTCTGAGATAAATCGTCTATTCGTGCAAGTCTTAACACACATCCTTCGTGTGTTAAGAGGAAGAAAGTTAATGCATCTTTTATTTCTTTTGGAGAAAATGTATTGGTCTTATTTTTTAAGGCAAAAGATAATTTAATTAAGGAAGATTAGAAAAAACAAAAGAAAAAAACCAAAAATGAAAGGAAAAGAAAATAGACTTGTGTGTCATGGACCTTCGGAAAACTCTTCTCATTGGGGTTGTAATGTTATTTAGCCTGTGAGGGTATTTTTCCTCTAAAAGGAATTCAGTGGAATTGATGACCAGCAGCTTTTGCCAACTGCTCTTAAGGGCAATGGTAAGGCCTCTGTGTCCCTTCCAAAAGATAGGCTGCATATCTTTGACAAAAAAAAAGAAAACATGCCAATTCCCTGATACAAATCCTCTCTGATTAGAAGTCACACTTGCCTCTTCTTTTTATGTTTCTACAGTAGAACCCAGAAAAACATGGATCTAAAACTTCTGTCCCACGGAAAGTAAATAAAGAGGTAAGAACAACTTTTTTCCTCTACTCCAAGTTCTCCTGTAAGGGCGTCTATCAGCTGCCCCACTTTATTGAAGAAGTAGGCTCAAATTGAGGACCAAAAGCTTTCAGAAGGTTGAAGAATCCCCACATTTAGGTAGAATTCAAGAAGCTTTGGTAATTTGAGGGTGACTGAAGGGCAAGCAAAACCCTTTGACCCATCTCTGTTTCTTGGAGGTCCTATAATTTTCATTATAATAATCATAATAGAATCAAGGTCTGGTCTGGCGAGAGAGGAGACATCCCTGTTTGTAGCACCTGAAGTTCCCATAGCCCAAGGAGCAGATATTTGAGGAGGTAAAAGACCTCAGGAGCACAGTATTAAGGAATCCATGTTTACATAAAGCAAAAAAAAAAAACAAAAAAAACCCAAAATAAAACAACTACTCATTTGGTTAACAAGCTGAGTCCAGGACATGGTGAATCACAGCTGACAGTCCCAGATGTAAAGCCACATTTCAGAGCAAAAGGGTAAGAGATGGTACCTCTTTCCCTCCTTTCAATTTTTGCTCGATGGCTTTTAGTTGGTAGGTGCAAATTAAAGTAACAAAGATTTCACTGATCACAATGTAAGCAAGGTTTGCTTCATCTCCATTTCCCCAGGTTATGCCTGGTTCCTGATGCCTACTGCTATTCTGTTCTTCTCTCAGTAGCACAGTCTTGGACGCAAGCACAAGTAATTTAGTAACTTCAGAGTTGCAGGAGTAAGAGGGGGATCTAGTAAGAAATTCTCTAAAAAAACTGATTCGTGTGTCTCCTCACTTGACTGTAGGCTCCATGATGGCAGGAAGCATGTCAGGTTCTGACCCCCATCTCAGGTCCAATCTCACCCAGCCCTAGCCTGGGGTAGTCATAGAGAGGCCATCATAAAAGAAGAAATAAGTAGGCCAAAAGTTAAGGTAATAAGCATTTCTAGATGCCACATAGTTTATCTTTTTTAAAATAGCAGAGATATAGCCTTAATATGTGTGTGCACATGCTAGGTTATTTTGGAAAACATATTTTAAAGAGGGAGGTATCTTCACTGTAGCTAAACACCTATTGTTGGTCCTTATACCTCATCCAATTACCTGTTCATTCAATCAGCATTTACCAAGGGGCTATAACACCCAGGATAGGGCTGGGCTAGGGTGTAAGTGGACCTGAGATGGGGGTCAGAACCTGACATGCTTCCTGCCATCCTGGAGCCTACAGTCAAGTGAGGAGACACAGGAATCAAACTCCTGCACAAAGAAATGTAAAGGTGCAGCTCTGATAACTACTACCATTAAGAACATAGAGCTAGGAGAGCATGTAACAGAGGTCTTTGACCTGACAGTCAGAGATGTCTGGGAAGGATTTGGAGAAGGTGATGATCTAAGAAAAGACAGAGTTTAATTTTATGTAATTTTACTACATATAAACCGTTGTGTGGTTTGACTATTCAAATCTTTGAACAAACTTTCTTTTTCTAAGAAGTAGAAGGTAAGACTCTGTCTCTGTTCCCTTCCCCAATTACCTTTATTTGGAAAATGCCTGAGTGACCAAGAACACTGGTTCCTACATGTCCCCCTTCCACCGCCACACTTCAGAGGGTGTTGCACTTGCCTCTCAAACCAGGAAGGTCCCTGTGCACCTGCTTGTCCTGTGCAGAGGTGCACAGGTGACAGGTGTGGTGGAGAAGACATTCTGCAGAGTCCTAAGCTGCTGTGTTTCCAGCCTACCCAAGAGACACCAACTTTGTGCACTGTGCACAGGGAGCCTGGAGCAGGCTGTGGGGCATCCTGTATGGCTGGGGAGGCTGCTGGGAGTCAAGAGGGACACACCAGCATGTGTTTACTGCTACCAGTGTCTCTCCTTTGTTTTCAAGAACCAGAGAATGAATATGAGCGCAAATGCTCCTTTGAGAAAATCAACAGCATTATTTGTGAAAGAGCAATATTCAAGTAACTATTAAAAGCATGTTGCCTTGTGGCAAAATAGCTTTAAATTTTAACAATTTTCACACTTGGGATTCTCAGCTTTCCAACACTGCATTTGGAGGTATCTGAGTTTAACATATTGCAGAAGGAACACAACAACTCATTTGCTTGGGTGTTAAAGTAGAAACATATTTACTATCCTTTAGTAGAGAGCTCTTCATCATGAAAGCCATCAAACAGCAAGCTGGATGGTATTCAAATAAACCAGAAAACTGGATTCTAATAAAGAATACTTTTCTTCCAAAAGCTGAGTTCTAAGAAAATATTGATACATTGGGAGCCTCAAAATATTGGCTCACTTTTTGATATTAAGGACAACTTTTTCTTATTTCTTGTAGAGCTTTCCTATGTGGGTTATTCCACCCAACATAACAACAAACTTCAGTTTGAGATGCACTCTAAATTATCTGGCTTCGGGAAATCAAACCAGATTTGTGTTCCTTGGCTGCTGATTTTATTGACTACTTTCATAGCGATGTCTTCCAGCACCCTGATATTCTAGTCATTGATGTATGTATGCACCACTGATACGCCCTAGCTCCATGGCATGCAGCACCTATCTATAGGAAGAGATGTGGTTGGGCCACAGTTTGAGAAAAGCATGGAGTAGAGGAAGGCATTGGTGGAGGTGAGGGGTATAAGGGTTGCACTGTTACATGCCTAGTTTGAGATGCACAGAAAGCAGGATGAGATTGCTAGTTGGCTGCAAATACAAATGCATTCTTATGGAAAGGAAAGATGCCTCAGAAGGTGAAGCCTAGAGAGTAGAACCAACAGCTGAGAAGAACAGACTAGGGAACCACTCCTAGGGAACAGAACTGTCATAATCAAGGAAATATTTTTGTCTTGGACATTGCTCATGAGGAGGGCATCCTAGTAACAAGTATCTTGTTGACTTTCGGAATTCCTATTGGCCAGTGGCTTCTATGTTACGTGGCGCCCCTCCCTCCCTTCTTCTCTCCTTTCCTCCCTTCTTTCTTACCTTTCTTTTTTTTGAATGGGAGTGGCCATTTTGGTTATCTTGTCATTGTCTCACTGTTACATGTTGGATATGGGTCGGGTAGATAATTTGTCTTTTTAGTTCATGGGTCTCTAGATCAAGAGGAGGTGTATCAAGGGAGCCACATCCACACCCTGATCTGATATAGATAATAAGATCGGTGACTTCATGCCTGATGCTGTGGTGGGGTGAGACTTTGGGAGGGCTTGGGAGGAGAGTGAACACACACATATGACTGGGGGCAGAGGTGCATCAGTGGGCCTAGACACAAACTATGGTAGGTCATTACAATAATGCCCCCAGTGAATCACACCTTCTGTGTAAGCGTTCATTTGTAATGTGGGTTTTCTACACTTCATAGCAAAAAGGGGAATCTATTTTCCCACTCTCTGAATCTAGAGGCCAGTCTAGACAATGTGCTTTGACCAATAGGATGTGCCAAATAAAGTAATGCCTTACAGCTTCTACTTTTGTCCTCTTGGAATTCTGGAACCACCTAGCTGAAAAATACTGGGATAAAGACTGCATAGAAAGAAAGGTCCTGCAGAGCCCAGACATTAACCAATCCACCAATTATACGAGCTACGTTATGAAGCCCAGGGAGACCAGCTGAAGAACCCCCCCACAGAACATCCCATAAAAACGTGAGAAATAATAAATCATTATTGTTTTAAGGCATTCTGTCTTTAGAAGACAAGTTTCATGGCAACAGATAACCAAGAAAACATTATCCTAGGCTGTACTAAGGAACATAAAGAATGAGTAAGGATGATTTAAAAAAGTAATGCATCCATGTGTCCCTGACTCCTTTTTCTTTCTACTGGTTAAGACATGACAATATCTGGAACAGCTGCCTTGGATCCAGATGAGGAAGGGTACTCAGGATGGTGGGGCTGCCCTATCAGCTCTAACCTGCTCACCTTTGGACCATCATATGAGAAAGAATGGACTTCTGCCTTAGTCAAGCTTTGTTCAGCATTTGTATTTGTTCCTCTGTTTTAGTACCTGGGCTTGGATCCTACCTAAAGCAGAATGGAAGTAAAATTCTTAAATTTCAATGAAAAAGATCAACTCATCAACTTTGTCACCTACACATCATATCATTTGAATCTCTCCTTGATACACAACAAGGGACACTGGCATGTAAAGACAAAAAAAAAAGATTACTTCTAAATTGACTTGGGTCTACTGATTGACCAACTCTTTCTTGGAATAGTGGTATTATGAAACTTTGGTAGATTAGCACAGAAATTTGTACATCCTTGATCAAGCAAATTCCTTCCCTATCTGGCGAGTGTGTATACCAAAGTCTGTGGTATAATTCTTTGAGAGATGCATATCTAAGTAATGAGCAAGGAAGAGAACACAACCAGCTTATCTAGCTAGATGAGGCACAGTAAATTTGGTGATCAATCAGGTGAAAGATGTAACAGACAGAATGGTCTCTAAGAATGTATGAATAAGCCGTTCCTATAGATTACTAAACTTTCAACATTGTATCAGTCAGGATGAGATAAATTATGCTGTGGTAACAAACAACTCCCAATCTCAGTGGTTTAAATAAACAAAAGTTTATTTCTTGCTTATGCTGTATGTTCAGTGTAGGCTGGCAAGGAAGTCTGCTTATTGTAGATACTCAGAGACCCAGACTAATGTAAGCTTCATCTCAAATTGTGTTTTCATGAAGCAGAGAACATGGCAGAAAGGACAGAGGCTCTTAAATTCATGTTTCATTTCCATTCACATTTCATTAGCCCATGCTAAACTATAAAGGGTGTGGGGAAAGTGTAATACTACCATATTCTAGGAAGGAAGCAAGATGGAAATGTTGCTGAGTGGCACTACTGAATATCCAACTACATATAATTACTTTACCAGAAGGCAGTACAAATAGACTTATATCATTTTGCAAAAAAAATGCCTTGACTGAGTCATTGTTTAATCTACATTCTAGGATTCAACTAAGAAGTGCCCCCTTAAATAATGTTTCTTTATCTTTCATAAAATGATAGGTAAAAATATTGATCTCTGGGTTACTTACTCTACCTGGCATAAGAATACATATACATGCTGTAAATTCATTCTAGAATACTGAGTGTAGACAAAAGCCTATCTTTAAAAAAAAATCATACTGTATGTTTTCTTTCTTTTTATCTGACAATGAGAACTAAATGACCCTATATTTCCCTCCTTTGTCCTAGCTGCCAGGAAATTTTTGTATTTATTGCCCTATTAATGAAACTAATTCAAGTTCTTGACCCATTTATTTCATTCTTCTGTCAACTGATATTTAATCTTTCTACTGTTTTAATATTTATCTTAATAGTCATTTAAAGGGATCTTTCAAATTGCAAGATATCTCAAATTGTCTATATAGGGAGGCATTAAATTATCAAAAATCTAAATAAAGTGGAAGTCTGATATAATAATGCCTTATAACTCTCTTGGCCTGTAACATCTTTTGTTCATTTCTATATTCCCAGGGCCCAAAACAGCACCCCAAAATTATTTCTGAATGAATGAATGATGAGTGGTTAGGTGATTTGTTTCACAAGCATGCATGTGTGTGTGCATTCGTGTGTGTAAGTGCATACACACACACACACCCTTATTTTGGGAATTTTGTCCTAGGGCTCTTTTCCTCTAGTCATTACTTGAATAGATATAGCTAGACTATATGAATTCTTTTAGGTTACCAAGATATATGAAATAAAGATATCAAGATAAATATATGCCCTCAAGAAACAGCAGCTATGGCACATAATAAAAATGGTCGCTACCTGGATGCAAGAGATCTTGGAATAACAATGGTGATTCTTGTCCATTCTTCAAAGTCCCCCGTGTGATACATAGTGGGCTCACTCAGCTCTCTGGAGTTTCCTTCACATCCTTTGCCTGCAGACGCTGGGTAACAGCCTTCTTTCACCAGAAACCAGGACACACCAGCATCGTGAGAGTATTGAAGGAGAACTGGGGCAGCACTGCTGAACTGATTGGCACACCCTATGTTTAGCTGTTAAAAGGAAAGGTAAAATTATAACAAATTTTGGTTTCAAGTCATCATTTAACAAAATGGATGCTACAACAGCCAGGCTGCTCACTCCTGAGCCTGCATTAAATTGACAATAGTAAGACATGCAGCTCAATCCCAAGACCCTTGTATAGGTTCTAGGAATCTTTGTCTAGTCGAGTGGTAGGTGCTCCCTAGCAGAAAGCTAGACCCGTTGCTCATTTTGTGGATTTCTTGGGATTTTAGGAAGGAAGAGAGAAGCACAGTATTTGTGATGTTAGAGTCTTGGACAAAAGCCAAGACGTCAAGAAGCCAAGAAACTGTTTTGTTTCACAGATGTATAAATGGAGAAACGTGGAAGATAAAGAGTTGTCCTCTCCAGAACATAAAGGTTACCTAAAGAGAGGGCTGTCCTCTTTGCTTTCAGTGGAACAAACATCTTTATTCTATTCTCTTGCCGAAGCTCAGTAAGAAATAATGTCAACTTAGATGAAAGAGCTAAGTTTTTGTCACAGCATAAAATAAGCAGAATAATCAGGAAATAAAACTATAATTGTTTGGAGCACTCATGTGGAGGAACATCAACATAGGATTAACAATATTGAAAAAAATTGAAAAAAAAAAGCAACCTAAATCCCAATGCTCTAGCACAGCTGCTTCTATTTTTCTATTTTTTTCTACTAATCTTTATAAAGAAGTAAATATTTTGGTCATATAGTTGAAGTTATAATTCAAGAACTTTCCTCCTGTTTTCTATTCAACATTTTATTTTATTATTATATGCAGCATTGCAAAGAATGTACCTTTTCTTCAGTTGATTTGTTACTACCAGATAAATTCCTAGGAGTAGTATTACTGAGTCAACATGTAGAAATATTTAAAATGTTCTATTTATATGTGTTTATTTTTAATCAGCTGGGTTCAAATGAATCAGTTTTACCACAGCACTGAATACTATTCTAGTTTAAGACAGATTCTTTCTAAATTAATAAATGTGTAAATGATTTTATTGTTTTAGCTTATATTTTTTGATAATTATAAATGTCAAGCTATTTTTCTGATATTTATTTAATTATATGCTGTTTTATATGAATGATATATTCATATCTTCTTTCATCTGCTGTTGGGAATCATTATAGAATTTTATTGTATAAGACTATAAATAAGAATAGCCAAATATTACAGAAAAAATTTTTGAAGTAAGTACTCAAAAGAATATAATCATGACCAAAGAATAAAGGGTGAAGAAAAGGTAGGGCAAATCATATTGGGCCGGAACTCAAGAGGTAAACCAGTTCATGCTTATGACTATATGGAAGCTTGATCTAGTCCTTTAAAAGAAGATTCCATATTTTCCTCATTTCTATACTCAGAGCTATAGAACATCTCTCAGAAGGATTTACAGTTTGGCTAGTAGAAATTTCATTGTGATTCATTTATCCAAGTTTGTAAGGTAAATGTTAGGAATATAAGCAAAGACTTGACACTCTAAGATAACTGACTGAACTATCCCAAATTTCCTTCCATTACCTCACCCATTAGCAAAGATAGTCTTTAGCTGGCATGTGGTGAGAGTAGTCACACTGGGCAAACATAGTTAGCTTTTCTGTCTTAGAGTTGTTATGACTGCCACTGTTTCTAAAGCAGGCAAGTCAATGAACCTTTCAATTCTGTGACAAGTTTGTGCTTTTTAAAAACTTGACAGGTTAGCCTGCTTCTTAACTGTTGATGTTTTCTAGGATTTAATTCTTGGCTTTCTTATCTTTTACTCTATACATACTCCCTAATCTCATTTACAACCATAATTTCAAACTCCCTCTGTATACCCGTGACTCCCAGATACGGCCTTTCTCCAGCTCTCCCAACAGCAAACATAACTGTTGCTGGTGCATTTCCACTTCAGCAGCCCACAGGCACACCTGCTCCCACACGTCCATGTCTGTGCTCGTCACCCGCCACCCTAAAACAAATCCTCCTCTTCCTGTATTTCCAATCCTAGTGAGTGGAGCCAGAAACGTGGGAGTCATTCTAGAATCCATTCTTTCACCCAATAGGTCACCAAAACTTGTTGACCATGACCCTTTGACCGCTCTCAGATCCCTCTACTTATTTTCATAATCCCATGTTTTGCCTTATTCTGGCCTCCTCATTTCTTGCTTTGATGACTGCATTCTTACTTTACTCAAAATATACTCAGCAATCTGGGCACCTTCTCTGCCTCCTTCACGATCACACAGGTCCGTGCTCCCAGCATCTCTGACTCGGGTGCCTGCGGTAGTTGCCCAGCTGGTCTTTCTGGTCCTGCCCTTGCCTCTGACAGTGTCTCCCAGCACAGTCACCAGCATGATTCTCATAGTCAGAGTAGGTCACCCTTCTGTTAGCCATTTTATTCAGAGTTGAAGTCAAAGTCTGACCTTATTTTTTTACACTAGTCTCCCCACTTTCCCACTCCCTTTGCTCTCGTCACAGTTGTGTCCCGGGGTTTCCTTAACTTTCCAAGCACACTACTACTTTAAGCCTTTGTACTTTGGTTCCCTGTGTCTGGAAAGCTCTTTCCCAGATAGCTGCTTGACTCAGTCCTTCACTTTTATAGGCCTTAGCCTAAAAGTCATTTTATTAGTGAGGTTAACCTGATGACCCCTAAAATGGTAATCATCCTCCACTTCCCTAGTCCTCACTCTCTATTCCTATTTATTTTCATAGCCTACAACAGAGCTTGGCACATAATAGAGGATTTATAAATATTGCTGAATAAATGCATGAATATAAATATTGATTCCACTTTCCCCTTCTGACAAGTCAACACCCAAAGCGTTGGTGGAATGATCTTTCTAAAACGCAGGTCTGATTCTCACACTCAGTGGATTAAAAATCTTCTATGACTCATTGCTCTTGGGTTAATGTCCAAGTGAATTAGTATATCATATAAAGCTAATTAGGATTAACTTTACCTCTCACCTCTGTGGAACATCTCTAAACTCCTCGAAGTTTCCCAATTTTCCTTTCTTATTTGTACTTGCATGTACTTTCATTTATTTACACATTCTGTTCCCTCTAACTGGAACACCCATCCCCCCCACCACCCATTGTTCAGCTGGCTAAGTCTGTATTTCCAAAGACTTCCCATTGCAGCTCATCCATTCATCCACCTATCCATTCATCCACCCAACTAATAGACAGATAGATACTTTTGGGGCACCTGCCACACGCCAGCCACTATGCTAAGCACTCCCTTAGCATCCAGAGCCTATTTATACTTCAGTGCTCCTGCAACTGTCCACTTTCCTGGGTCACTTGCTAGTTTCTGAGCTCTATGAGGGCTAGAAACATATTTTTTCATCTTTATATTCCTAGCACCTAGTGTTTGACACATGGCACACAGTCACAAAAAATGTACCAGCACTGTGTACAAATGACACCAAGTTCTTCTTACCAATTCCAAATATACATTATTTATCAATTCATGAATGACCCATTTATAGGTAATAAATCCATTATCAATTAATAGCCAGAAATTAATAGTTTTCTGCTCATGTGATTCAAGAATAGACATTTTTCTTAGGCATTATGCTTGTTATTTATTATTACCTTGCTGGTTGTTTTAAGTACTTGAAACATTTAATAATTTTTTTTATTTAGAGTTTTTAAACTTCCAAATACTATCTTGCAGACTTTAACACCTACACTAACATGATTTTGTGACTAATTAAATGGAAGAGGTGTCGGATAAGAAACAGCATAGTATTCCGGTAATGTATTTGCTATTGCTGATATTTTGTTACCATTTCAGGAAGTGACAATGAGTTAATATAGTTATATACTGTTATTAATGGCTTTTCCATTGGAGTTTAGCATCAAAGTCTAAACAGAGAAGGATAACATTTCACTAAGCATTTTATTTATGACTAACTTCCTTGTTTACAGACTTTGGAAATTATATTTGAAGAGCTGCCTCTAAACATCTGATCTCTTTAATAATTCCATTTGTAAATTATTTAGCATCTGCATCCTGCCGTTATGTAAGGACCACGTAGTTGTGTAGCTCATTAAAACTGCATTACTTTCTACCCCAGAATTCACCAATGGGATTTTATTGTAGACACAATGAAATTCTGTTTAGGGTTCTGAAAAAAGAACTTCTCAAAGTAAATACTTGCCACACATGTTGACATGTTATCACAGTGTTGAAAAACAACAAGCCTTTAAGAAAGCAATGATAATTAGTGTAAAAATTTACTGAACCAAAGGAGGAGGAATTGTTTGAAAATCATACACTGAAGACATAAAATAACTAGTCCAAAAAGCACTAGTAAGCTCAAAAGGAGAATTTATTTATTACCATTCAGAAACAAGGGATTCAATAAGTCACAATCAGATTGAAATTCTCAAAGTCAGTTTTATTTTTAATTTGGGTAGAGTTCCATGTATTTAAAGAAATACAATGACAGCTACACTTCTGGAGCTCATTAAAAACTGAGAAACTGTTTTCCTTATGGGTAGAGCTAAAAAGTTTTGCCATTCTAAGATGGTTGAAACTTTGTTTAAGTAGGTCCCTTGTTTAATAGAATATGAACAATCTGTGCTCTTTGTGCATTTCAAGTATAAATCTGGAGGTTGGTTTCCTCCTTAACTTGCCCTGGGAAGAAGCTGGTGCATAAATACCTTGAACTGTAGCACATATCCAGGTTTCAGAGTCAGATCTCGGGTTACTGCAAATCGATCCCCATCTGATTTCCCAAATATCATGGCAGATGGTGTGGAGGAGCAGAAAGTTTCATTTTTAACCATTCCTTCATTAGCCAACATCAACCACACACTCATTTGATTCATCGGGTAATCAAAAGCTGGCTTCTCATAAAAGTTCTAATAGAAGCAACACAAACAACAGGGAGAGACAATCTGAAACCTTTGAAAACGAGAGGGATTTTCAGTTGAAGACAGGTAGGGCCATGTATCATTTGTATTTCTAGGAAAATATAGCAGAATCTCTAAATTAATTTTTTTTCACTGCAGTGAACTTTTCTCCTGATGATTTAGCAACTGAAAATATTTTGTCATTGTGTATCTAATTTTATAAACACACTAAAGCAAGGTTATGCTTGATGACTTGGCCAGACTTCATAGCTTTAGAAAAATCCATGTATCTAAGTAATCTGTGAACTATAGCATAGAGAGGCAACCAAGAATTAAATGCAAACACAGAAGATTTAAATGACCTGTGCAGGGTGTGAAGCACTAAATCCTTGGGGAAGTGAGAAGTCCTTTAATTCCACCCACTTTATTTTAAATTTTGCTATCATTAATCTACAATTACATGAAGAACACTATGTTTACTAGGCTCCTCCACTCACCAAGTCCCCCCCACACCCCACTACAGTCACTATCCATCAGCGTAGCAAGATGCTGTATAATCACCACTTGTCTTCTCTGTGTTGTACAGCCCTCCCCGTACCCCTCCACAACACTGTACATGCTAATCGTAATGCCCCCTTTCTTCAACCCCCTTGCCCCTCCCTTCCCACCCATCATCCCCAGTCCCTTTTCTTTTGGTAACTGTTAGTCCATTCTTGGGTTCTGTGATTCTGCTGCTGTTTTGTTCCTTCAGTTTTTCTTTGTTCTTATATTCCACATATGAGTGAAATCATTTGGTACTTGTCTTTCTCCACCTGGCTTATTTTACTGAGCATAATACCCTGTTGCTCCATCCATGTTGTTGCAAATGGTAGGATTTGTTTTCTTCTTATGGGTGAATAATATTCCATTGTGTATATGTACCACCTCTTCTTTATCCATTCATCTACTGATGGACATTTAGGTTGCTTCCATTTCTTGGCTATTGTAAATAGTGCTGCGATAAACATAGGGGTGCATCTGTCTTTTTCAAACTGGGCTGCTGCATTCTTAGGGTAAATTCCTAGAAGTGGTAATTCTACCCACTTTTACAATCTCTATCTTCTTGGAGTTCAGACATAGGAAAAATACCTGTGGTAGAGTTGGGTTGACAACTGGGATGATCTGCTTCTGCTTCTCTGACAGAATGATGATGTCATCGACTGCCCACTGATCATAGTCCTCCCCTGAGAACACAGGCTGCCACCAGCGGAACCTGGTGCAAGGGGTCTTGGCAGCAGCTGGAAGCTCCAGATAGACAAATCTATATAAAAGCAAATCACTTAGGGTTGGGAAAGCAAGAGCTGTGTTTTTCTTAGCAGCTGTTTAAATAACAAGTGTAGCAACAAGAGAAAGTTTACTTTTGTTTGATCTATTGGTACTTTGGAAAAGTTTCTAAGTTTAGACGGATGACAAGAGGTTTAAAGTTGTAATCAAGTTTAGTCCTGGTCATGTTTATTCCATTTGGAATTGTATCGTTTGGAGGCAAGTATTTCAATTGACTTTGATTCACTGAACAATGGTTTTTGACTACCACAACTATGGGTGTAACATTTTAAAGATATACCTAGAAAAAACTCTCTTTGTATGTTATTACATTAAAATAGCATTTAGATTTTTTTCAGAACAGTTCATCCTGTGGGAAAACACAATATGCATTAAAAATGAAATGAAGCCACCCATAATCTATTACATGGGGTTGGCTTCTGTTAATAATTTGATGTATATCATCAAAGCAGGTCATTTTTCATATAGGTGAGACACATGTGTAATTGAGTGTTCTATAGTTTAAAAGTTAATATTATATCATAATATTCCCATATCAGAAAAATTAATTTTACTGTCTATATACTTTTTCATCACATAACCATGCTATTATTTATTTTACTTTTCCCTATTAGAAATAATTCTGTGATGAAAATCTTTTTGTATAAAGCTTTATCTATATATACCTCAGTGTATTTCTTTAGGGAAGATTCCTAGAAATGGAAATACAAGGTTAAATAAACTGGTCATATTTAAGGGTCTTGATTTTTCCCAATTCCTTTCTGGAAGGGTCTACAATGGTTTACAGGTGGCATAAAAAAACCTATTTTGCTGCTCCCATGAGGAGACAGCTCATTAAAAAATGACAAGTTGACTGTTTAAAATAGTATCCTTCTATGCCACAGAGGTTGTATATTATTCAAATTTTATTAAACATCTTTTGTTATATTCACTTCTTTTACCCATTTTTCTACTGAGATTTTAGTGTTTTTCTTGATAATTTGTATAAGCTCTTTATAAAGGACTACTGACTTTCTGTTTCTCATAATGGTTGTAAATACTCTGTTTTCTGTTTTCATTTCTTTGCTATGTATGTGTTATATTTGTGTGCAATTTTACATTTGCATGTATTGTATTTATATGTAAGTAGTCCTTCTCTCTGTTAAGTCTTTCACTGAATTTATGTTTAGGAAGTTTAGATCTTTTTCTAAGATCAGATAATAACCTAAATGTTTAACACGTTAGCCAGTCTTTAGCAGTTTTTCATGATGTAAAGTGATAATCTAGATAGATATTTTCCCCCAAGAGCCTGCCCATTTTGTCTTACACCACCTGATGGAATAACCATTTCTTTTTCATTGATAGCTGATATGTCATAAGTTCTTAAATATATCTGAGTCAATTTCTGGGTCTTCTACTTGGCTTCATTATTTGTTCTGTTGATCCATGTACCTGTATCATTCCTTTTAATTATACAGGTCACATAATATGCTTTAATATCATATAGGGAATCCCTCTATTTTTTCCCAAATGTTTAAGCTATTTTTGCCAGTTTATATTTCTAGATAAAAGTTTCAAAAAAAAAATAGTAAGCACTGCTAAGATTTTGATTGAAGTTGCATTAAACCTAAATTAAGAGATACCTTCATATAATAATATTCAGTTTCCCATCCAGGGATACTGTATTATTTTCCATTTATTTCTTTTCTTTTAAATCTCTACAGGAAAGCCTGAAGTTCTGTAGTTTTCTTTACATAGATTCTCTGTATTGTTTGTTAAAATTTTTCCATATATTTATTTACACATTTGCCACCATGAATGGGGTCTATTTCTACTATCTTCCAACTCAGGATTTCTTAAGTATTTTAGTGTTACAGAAGTGTTTGAGAATGTGGTGAAATATTTTGGCCTTAAAGAAAAGTTCCCATAAATACAAGCTGAATATTTCTGGAATTTGAAAAAGCTATTGAATTTTTGTCTATATACTAATCTAGTCACTTTACTGAACTCCCAATAGTTTCCAGATTGACAATGATATTACCTGGAAAAAACAATCTGAATTACTTAAAATTTTTTCTAAACCAGTTTGGTACTATTATCAATTCCCTCTCTACTGTAGGGAGGGAATCCCACCAGGTTCTATCTCCTTCTAACCATTCCTGAATTCCTCTCTGGATGTTTGATATCCTGTTTCAACTCACAGCCTCTTCTCTGGCTTCTGCCTCTCCTCTGTGTCCCTTAGAAGAAATGCTTTTGGTTGTCTGTTTGCATGTCTACTTGTGTTGTATCATGGAAAATTATGTCACCTTTAAATGACTCATTGTTTTAAAACAACACACTCAGGAACCTTTAATCTACAAAACAGCTATATTTTAAGTAGTATGCTTAAGGTATACTTTATTTGTAAGAATAGGATCTATATAGTCTTCAATAATATTTTTTTCAATAAAATAAGGTTCAATTGTAAAATGCAAAACAGCAACATTAGTATGTTAAAGCTTAATAATGACTGGTGGTCACCATATAAAGAAAAACTCTGTGTTTATGTTAAAGTATAAGTAATGAGATTATTAAAGGAATACTGTAAAAGTGATGTCCTTGAGTAGATTTTAATGATCCTTATGTAAATATAAAGTATATCTATAGTATTTCAGAACACCACATAATTGCAAAAGAAATAAATTTAAAAATAAACACATTGATTGCCTGGTATAGGTATCAGTATTAAGCATGGGTCATTTTCCCAAACTCCTGAACAGTCTTTGTCTAAGACATTTTATTACATATATTCCCCACCTATCAAAATTATAATATTCAGTTTCCCATCCAGGGATACTGTATTATTTTCCATTTATTTCTTTTCTTTTAAATCTCTACAGGAAAGCCTGAAGTTCTGTAGTTTTCTTTACATAGATTCTCTGTATTGTTTGTTAAAATTTTTCCATATATTTATTTACACATTTGCCACCATGAATGGGGTCTATTTCTACTATCTTCCAACTCAGGATTTCTTAAGTATTTTAGTGTTACAGAAGTGTTTGAGAATGTGGTGAAATATTTTGGCCTTAAAGAAAAGTTCCCATAAATACAAGCTGAATATTTCTGGAATTTGAAAAAGCTATTGAATTTTTGTCTATATACTAATCTAGTCACTTTACTGAACTCCCAATAGTTTCCAGATTGACAATGATATTACCTGGAAAAAACAATCTGAATTACTTAAAATTTTTTCTAAACCAGTTTGGTACTATTATCAATTCCCTCTCTACTGTAGGGAGGGAATCCCACCAGGTTCTATCTCCTTCTAACCATTCCTGAATTCCTCTCTGGATGTTTGATATCCTGTTTCAACTCACAGCCTCTTCTCTGGCTTCTGCCTCTCCTCTGTGTCCCTTAGAAGAAATGCTTTTGGTTGTCTGTTTGCATGTCTACTTGTGTTGTATCATGGAAAATTATGTCACCTTTAAATGACTCATTGTTTTAAAACAACACACTCAGGAACCTTTAATCTACAAAACAGCTATATTTTAAGTAGTATGCTTAAGGTATACTTTATTTGTAAGAATAGGATCTATATAGTCTTCAATAATATTTTTTTCAATAAAATAAGGTTCAATTGTAAAATGCAAAACAGCAACATTAGTATGTTAAAGCTTAATAATGACTGGTGGTCACCATATAAAGAAAAACTCTGTGTTTATGTTAAAGTATAAGTAATGAGATTATTAAAGGAATACTGTAAAAGTGATGTCCTTGAGTAGATTTTAATGATCCTTATGTAAATATAAAGTATATCTATAGTATTTCAGAACACCACATAATTGCAAAAGAAATAAATTTAAAAATAAACACATTGATTGCCTGGTATAGGTATCAGTATTAAGCATGGGTCATTTTCCCAAACTCCTGAACAGTCTTTGTCTAAGACATTTTATTACATATATTCCCCACCTATCAAAATAAAGAAAAGGCCAGTGAAATATTTTAGAAAATCCTAGCTCCACAGAATTATTCATACGCTGCCTAGGACTGGTCCTGGGTAAGGCCATATGAAAACTTCTAACAAACCCATTTTGTTGTTAAAAATAACAGATGAACATATTTTGTATGTGCATCAAGAAAAAAAACCCACACATACAAATGGGAAAACTGAGGTTGGCATATACCTACATCAGTTTTTTTGGAAAAACAGTGGTCAATGGCTCATTTTTCTTCTAGTCACAATTTTTTTTCATATTCTTTAAAAATTCAAGCGTTAATACAATGCTTTCTGTCCAGAAACTTAAATGAAAAAAATATTTATATATTGGGTTATCATTCTTGTCAGATATTTATTATGTGCTTGTTTATTTTTGCAACAGTTAAGGACATTTTGTAAACACCCCAACAACAATGTAATCTTTACTATTCCTGGAAACTTCTGGAAAACCATCAGGCATGGTTACCTAGGTTTGCTGAAGTCTGAGAAGTACATCTCTGCCAGCAGGTGCCACTGGATGCCCCCGTTGTTGCTGTGCTGAAGGAGGACGCCCTCCTCTCTGCTGTCAGGCTTGTTGCATGCAGAGCTCTCTCCACCAATCTGGATGTAGAACTGGACAAAGTCCACCCAGGAAGTATCCAGGTCCCAGCTCATCAACAGTCTTTTCCCAGCCTTTCCAAAAGACAGAGAAGGCACAAGCTCAATCATCTGGGAGCTCTTTGGCATTTCATGGTTTCAATTTCAAACTCACCTAAGCATCCTAGCATTATGTGGAGATGCTTTTGCCCCTATCAACTGTTGGGAGAAGCAAGTTATGCCATTTAATTGTCTTTGCTCTGGGTATGATAACTATTCCCAGAAACATCAGATTAGTCTCTATGCCACTGATTTCCAGACCCAGTTTTGAAACTCCTGGGAACTGTTAAATATAACAAGGAGTATTCAAAAGCCTTTTAAAATAAAGCAAAATTAATTTTAACTAAACTTCTTCCAATATTTGCTTTGTAAGTCTCCTCGAGGCAGAGTAATAGAGAAGAAAGACCATAACCTTTGAAATCAGTTGGAGCTGGGTTTGGATCTCAGCCCATTCTGCCTTTCACTAGCTGCGTGACCTTTCTGAGCTTTTATTTTCCTCAAAGGTAAATATGGGTAATGACACCTTCCTTATAGGGTGTTGTGACAATTAGATGAAGTAATATGTTACATGTAACTAGCTTAGCACTTGATGTGCCTTTCTGAGGGAATATCTTCTCTAGAGATACGCCCAGACCCTTCTGCTCTGGGAATTCAAGTGAAACAGGCAGGACAGAAACTTTCTGACAAAAAAGAAAGGGTAGCATCTCTCAGGTTCCCAATCAGTCCCATCTGTCTGTCTGTCCATCTATTTCTTGGAAATAGGTTGGGAGGGATCATTAAAATAAGTTTTGCAACCACTAAATGGTCTCTTTAGTTCTGAAAAATGTTAAAAATTTTCCTCAAATCCAGCAACTTCTTTCCTTTGCTAAGTGTGTCCACTGATGTCACATCCTGTTATTAGACACAAGGTTTGTCACAATTCCTGTTGTGTGTCAATGGTTTCATGCTAAAGGGATTGAAAAAAAGGTTTTCTCAGGAGATTCTACCACCCAAAGCTAATCCACCCAAAGCTAATCCACTGCACTGTAGTAGTCTCAGAGCGCTCCCAAGGTGTTCACTTAGAAGTCGGGAAGAAACACTGAGAAGGATACAATGTAGAGAAAAACACCGTTCACACTTATAATTTAAACCCTCCTCTAATCCACCAAGTTACTTAAGAAAGGGTTTTGGTTATTAGAAGTCACAGGCAGAATGCTTGGGGATAATTGAAAGAGTACACTGTTACTGGTA